CCCCCCCCCCCCCCCACACACACACACACACAATCATCCATGAATGTCTTTAGTCGCTTGGTCTCTAACAAGTTTCTTACCGGTCGCAAACATTCAAAAAGATGTTGATGGAAGGTTGCAAGTGACCGCAATAAAATAGGCGTAGGATGGTGGGCAATTTGGATGTAGACTATTTTTTCATATTTTGTCATGCCTGCTTTCTATAATATGATACAATGATCACAAATCATAAAATCTTGGTAAAAGAATACATAAGATGCATTTGTTGGCAAAAAAAAAAAAAAAAAAAAAATGAATAGCGGCGCGACTAGATATTTACCAGGCGTTCTTTTAGAAACCTTTTTGCGAGTTGTAGCAACTAGTCGCCAGAGATCGTTGCAAGTCGCAAATCTGCAGTACATAAGCATTATAACTGAAAGGTTATCAGACATGCAGCGGCCTGTGAAGTTACATATTAATAATTTATCTAGTGATAAATCGGATTTTAATTTTTAGGATTTATAAAATGACACAAGTAGGTATAAAGCAGAAGAACAATTTTTATCACGTGGTGATTTAGAATATTTGAACAAGTAGTGTGAACAAATACTAAAAATGCAGAGTATATGCTGCTTTAAAATTGTGAACTTTAAAAAGGCCGTCACTGTGAATACATATGCAATGTGGGCAAATTTAATTATATTGTGAAATCAGTTCTGAAATGAGGTAAGATATGACAAATTTCTTCTACAATGATCCCAGACAGCAATATGATGATTACGACATCTTGGGTGGAATGTCAAAATTTTATATATGGACATAAGAGGTCATCAGTGCCTCTTGTGAAATGGCGTGCACATAAGACGCTTGCTTCGATTTTAATGGCCCCTTCTGGTTGCCATGGTAAAATGTATGTTTCTTGGTACCAGGCTTTTGCAGCTCCAAGCAGAATAAACTATTTTCTAGATTATAAAAGAATATTAATATTTCATTTATGAATATTCGCTTCTCTTGTCCTCTGGCACACACACAGATTCTTTAATCAGCATTAAGAAGCACTCCTTCCACCACTTTGGCAATTGAGATTAAACAATGGATTCTTAAATAGAAACTACTCAAAATTCAAGAACTTATTTAAACTACTGCACAGAATCCTGTACAATGGATGTTGTTTGAATAACATTATTGTTTTGAGTTTGCATCTGGGCAAGAATACTTCTTGCAACAATCAATGATAACAAAACAGTAAGCATTCTGAGAGAAATTTATTCATTTCTTTTTATCATCAAGCAATTCACAAATAAATAAGGTAAAAAAAATGATGAGCACATATTCATGGAGGGTTGAAATAAAAAAAGTTAACTATGAAGGAAACTTTACAATGGCACAAGAGCTTCATGGAAAGTACCCTAAAAATAATTAGCCTAATAAGGAAAGCCGACTACAGTACGGCTAAATTTCAAGTTTGTACAGTGTATTGCCATGGAACTGATAAATAATTACCATACCATAAAAATCAGTGAAACTCTGTTTTAAGCTTGAAAATATTTGAAAGCTCCTCCCCTTGGAAAAGCCTTTCCAAATTTTAGGACATCTGCATTTCTAGTGACACTTAAAAGGGAAGGGTTAAAATAACAAGTGTGGAAAGTGACCATGAACAGTGGTGGATCCAGAGATGTTTTCTGACAGTCTTCCAAATTATCTTTATTGATCCATCCTCCATTTTTGACCGTTTTCCTACAGAAAAAATTAGATAAGCGTCAACGTAAACTTGAAAATCTGACCGTCTCCTGGAAGACCCAGAAGATGGCCTAAATCCACCCCAGATAAAACAGTTGTGGTTTAGGACAATTTTGACAAAAATATTTAAGCTAAACTCTTGAAGTGGTACAAGAGCACCAGGTCAAACACTGGCCAGCCTCCTCACCTGGATTGTGGCATGCACCAGCAAGTCTCACAGAGGGTTGCCACACCAATCACAAATGCTCATTTTTATGGTACCATACACAGACATATGGGACAGTTCAAACAGCCATCTAACATACATTTGAAGTGTGGTGCTGATGTTCAGACATGAAAAGCAGGCATGCACGGAATTTTAAAAATGAAGAAGTTGGCTGGAACTCGGGCATGTCTCAAACATCCATAAACCTCTGTAATTTCTGACATGACATGTATGAGTGTCCCAGTTTCACAATCGGTAACATAGATCTTGCAGTCACCTGCACTGCAAGTAGCAATCAGATCCCGCTACAACATACATGAGCAGTTGAGAGAAGCATAGACTGTCTAACCCAGTTTGCCAACTACTGCCTAAACTTATATATATATATATATATATATATATGGTTTTATGACAGTTCCATACCAGTCCATTAACATCTAGGTCCATTACATTTTCTCTAATGACATCTACTCTGATGAAATGTCTCAACCCAAGATAGTCATTAGCTAATGTGTTAACCTCTTTGTACTTTGTGTAAAACAACCTTGAACTATATCTGTACCAAAATGATGACTATTTTTGCTCAGTTGTGCACATCATGAGCATTTATAAATAAAAAATGGTGGTGACTTGCATCTTACACTCTGACCTAAATAATCTTAAATAAATCAAGCAAGTTGTCATCCCTAATCACATATATCATAATCAAGATTCATTAATGGCTATGAAAAAAGCTGAAAGTCAAAAAATCAAAGGTAGAATTGATCTTTCTCTGATGGGTTTCGGCTTCCCATAATTTATGAAAAAAGACATAATTCGTGTTTCTGAACAACCAATGAAAATCTATTGGAGGCATCTTTTAAAAATAGACAAAGAGTGTATGTCTGACTGCAAAAAGCATTTATGTAAACAAGTGATCTTTGCCGACTGAATCTGAATAAACAATGGGTTTACTTTGACCACTGAGGGTGATGAACATGCACTAATTAACACAGAGTTTTTCTTTGGATGTAAAACTGCTAAGGAAGCATGCACTGCACCTCAGTTACAAGGCTTGGAAGAGCAGCATCAAGGTAGAGAATTAATTAATGTCCAATAATATTTTGAACAACAGTACGTAGAAGCAATCCAACTTGTTTTCAGTGTAATTTAAATGTTAGTTATGAGGGGAAATTATCTTCACTTGAGATTTTACCCATATAGCTAAAATCTTGACAATCTAGTTTTGTATGACATCATGTACAGCCATGAGTCTTGATTTAAGTGGTCAGTATATAATTATCACTGACACACCTTTAGTTCAAAGACATATTTCATTATTATTATTATTTTTTGAAGATAAGTGACCTTTTTTTCACCAGAAAGTTACTTTCTTTACAATCTAATTTGTAAAAGAAATATAAATTAACATATGAAGGTAAGTATTTTGACCTTAGATTTTTTTGTACATAGACACATATGATATATTTAATTTAGAAGTGCAAGTACTCAGTAGTCCATTATAGCATATAAGGTTATATCCAATGAGTGCACACATTAAATGACTGGTAGTGCCCAGCAAGTGACATTCCTGTCTGCACTGGTGCTGACAAATGCTAGCTGTGATGGATGCCATCTGCACTGTATCACCTTGTCCTTGTGTTCTGCCACAGCCACAGAGGGGAGCGGCTGCAGGAGATCACCTGGGTAGAAAACACAAAAACAGGACCATCAGCAAGGAAAACTACCTACAACACTGTCTGTATGAAACATCTTTATGAAACAAGCACCATTATGCATCAACTTGAGCAACTTTAGGCATTCTATTAGTTAAAGTAGAGTTGAGAATGACCTGACATAAAATGTTACACTTTAACATCACCTTGGTCTTGTCAATGAAGTAAACTTCAGGTGCAGTTGAGACTAAAGCAACATGGTTACATGACAAAATACTCACATAACAAACAGAACCTTTAAAACCTTTAACTAAACCAATTAATGCTTTATCAATGAAATAATTTTTTTTCTCTTATGTGAACATAATGCTTTCATTCACCTCTCAGATCCGTCAACATAATCTTCTGGTCATAGGAGCCTGTCAGGAGGTAGTAAGCATTCATGTGATCAAACCTTGCAGTTCGCACCTCTCCCACATGAGGCTTAAATGTCTGCACCATCCTAGCACCACGTACATCATACATCATTACTGTGGAGTCCTCGTGTCCTGATGCCATGAGACGCCCTGTACCCTCCACACAGACAGAGGCAAATGCACTCCCTGGGCTAGGAGACTGAACTATACTGATGGGAGAGGACATTCTGAGGTCCCAGAACCGAGCTGTTTTATCCTGTGAACCACTGACAAACATGTAGCCTACACCCCATGTGTGGAGAGAGTAGATATGACCTGGAAATAAAAATGGAAAGAACATCAAACCTATAGTAAATAATGGAATGTAAAACACATATTTTTAAAAGGATGCAAAAGCTACCTATATTTAAGGAGTAGAGTATGGAATGTAATCTTTGTTTTTTCACCAGGTGAAAAGACACAGCACAAAAGGGTGCCCCAGTATGACATTCACCTGTGTGTCCAGACATGACACGTATGGGTGTCCCAGTATGACACTCACCTGTGTGTCCAGACATGACACGTATGGGTGTCCCAGTATGACACTCACCTGTGTGTCCAGACATAACACGTATGGGTGTCCCAGTATGACACTCACCTGTGTGTCCAGACATAACACGTATGGGTGTCCCAGTATGACACTCACCTGTGTGTCCAGACATAACACGTATGGGTGTCCCAGTTTCACAGTCAGTAACATAGATCTTGCAGTCGCCTGCACCGCCACTAACAAGTAGAGGAGTCTGATTGTCCTGCATGAAAATCAAATCTCGAACAGTTCCATCATGGAAAGTGTACTCCACATCTGGACCTAAAAAACAGTGCAGTTGATTACAAACAAACGCGCATAAAGTGATTAATTGAAATACTGCCAATACAGCACAGGAAGAATTATATTACAATAATGACAGTTTTAGACTTACTAGTAACTAGAGGATCAGAGTGGTGACACTGCTGTCAGATTACTGTACTACCAACAAGATTCAAGTTCAATGGGTGAATCTCTTCTAGATTATATCCAGAAAATTTGCAAAATGCATTTCAGGCCAAAGGTCAAAGTCAGGATCATGTTCGGATTCCCAATTTATGATTTCCTATTCAGGTTAAGTGCAGATTAACCTAGTTAATCTGATTTAAGTGTAGCACAAGCCTGCCTGCTTAGTTTAGCCTTATTATGCAGTACATGTCCCGCCTGTAGCCTTAAGCTGCACAAAGCCTTAAGCTGGGCCACTTCTACCACTTAATTCAAAGCTTGCTTGAGTTGTGCAGCAGCACACGCATAGCCTCCCTCGTGTTTTGTATCACTGATTCCCACCCACCCACCCTGTTGCTTGTTTACTTAGTCTTCTGCATCTGTGTACAAGTAATGCTTTGCTTTATATAATATGTATGCTTATGTACCAGCTTCACTACCTCTATTGGAGGACTTTTTATTTTTTATTTCACAGTGGACCTAATTATTTAAGCTTTTTAAGAATTGTTATTGGTTGTAGTTTTAGATGTAAGTCGTAGTGTAGTTAGTAACCAATAAACTTTTCTAAGCCGGTGCTGTGTGTTGTTGTTTAAGTAGAAACTATGATTGTGTCTCTTATAGTTCTAGAGATATAAGGGCTAGAAAGTCTGTGGAGTGCATTTTATGGTGAAAACAGAAAAGTACAGGCAAAAAGCATGATTAAATTTCCTATTCAAGTTTAGCAGTAACTTGGGATGCATCTCAATTCCCATACCTAGATTGATCTTGCAGGATCGTCCCATCTCTGAGGGGATTCTTGCTATATTGCTTTTAGCTTAAGTGGCTTAGATGACTGGCATGCTATTGAAACTGCTAAACGATAGTTAATTACCCCCTAACAGCTTTTCCCAGCCAACTGTCCAACCATCATAAAAACCTGATATAGACCTGTCACCAAGGCAACAAACTGTCTGAAAGCCTATGCTGCCCAGACTGCTGAGGTCCATGAGGGTGTATTGACTTGGGGAAAGAAATTTTCAACTTTATGTACAGTTAATTGAGAGAAGAAGAATTTCACAGAAGAAGAGACTTCATCTGCTATCAGTCTTCTTCAGTAACTTTTCTCATATTTCATTCAGTTTGGGAGATATTCGGCAATTTTCAAAATTTGGACAAAGTTACATTGAGACAAGCGTCACATCTATGCAAATGCACCTCCAGGGCCTAAAATCATAGGGCTTAGGGGGTTCAAGTGGAGATTATAATATATGTAATCTAATTCTATCAGATAAGGACACAGGTCCTTGTAGTCTATGAAGAGAAGTGGTAACAGTGACTTGTATCTCATGACAGAGCCACAGGAACCAGTGAACGAGACAGCTCAGTGCTAGAGACATGAGTACCGCAAATGCTCAAGCTGGTGGAACTAATAACTGACACCAACACTGTCACATATAAAGACAATGAATTTTTGATACATAATTTTATCTTATATCAACAGTTAATCATGTTTTACTCACCAATACTATTACATGTGTTAGAATCAAACTTGAGCAGTTTGATGGTTTTATCATTGGAGCCTGTGGCCACCAAGTCTCCTTGTCCACTCCATGCTATACAATAGATGGAGCCCTTGTGGTGCTTTGTCCTCTTCAAGACAACATTGGGCTGAGTACAGATGTGATCCACACTGGAAAAAAAATTAAAATAATGCAGTATGTTATGGTAAGCATTTTATTGAGCATCATGTAAAGATAATTTTATGTTCTGAATAACATATATCAAGAACCTAACTGTGCATTGACAAAGACCCTGAATTATTGAGAAAAAAAAAAAACACCTGCCAAAACTGTGAAAATGCATCAACTAATCTACAAGACACATCATCAAATGGCTTCTTAATCCCCTGCTACCTGAGGTCAGAGAGATCAGGGAAAGCACATATCCTCAGTGACTTGGTGTTGGAGCCCACAGCATAGAGATGGCCCTGGGGGCTGAATGCCACAGCTCTGATGGCCTGACCATCCTCCAAGGTAGTCACAGGCAGGAAACTGGGCCTGGCAGGGGAGGAGGGCTACAACAACAGGGTAGACTATCAATAGTAGGCAAATACATGTAATAAATTAATTAAGTGAGAACACTAGGAAGCGATGTGTGATGCCACTATTTCCTAAGATAGCATGGTTTAGCATTGAAAAAATATCATCCTTATTTTAAAAAATTGTATGAAATATTAAGGCAGTACCTTTTCTTCCATATCTGGCTCTCCTAAGTGTGAGACATGTAAACTAGAGCCGTCTGATGATGTGTTCTTATCCAAAGTTTCTAATCCACCTGAAATACGCAAATACATATAAGACAACTATACTGACTGAAAATATAAATACAACAAGGCATGCATAAGTATATTTTACTTGGTCTTTTAAGATTACTGACTTTGCTAATAACAATACAAAATAAACAATTGTGTGTTTTATCCTTTTTTAATACAAATTCTTAAACTTTTTTTTAAATTCATACAGCTTACATAGTTTTAAAATTCATACAGCTTACATAGTTTTAATACAAGGTTGCTTTTACAGGACAACTTATTCCAAATATTGTATATTTTATATATTTATTGCCTAATAAGTCTTTATCTTAAGACAAATCTTGTAAACATACAGATTATGTACAGTAGGTAACATAAATAAACAGACATTTAAACAGAAGAATTCTGAAATCTCTTCATCATAATTTGAAAGAGTAAGAGCAAGTTTTTACCCCAAATGATACAAAATCTTGTTAACTCTTCCATGATTTCAGACTTATTTGTGAAGCTTCAAGCTATTTCCGATATTCCCCATTATTCATTTCCATGCCCCTTTCTAANCACGCATAAAGTGATTAATTTAAATACTGCCAATACAGCACAGGAAGAATTATATTACAATAATGACAATTTTACTTAGACTTAGACTTACTAATAACTAGAGGATCAGAGTGGTGACACTGCTGTCAGATTACTGTACTACCAACAAGATTCAAGTTCAATGGGTGAATTTCTTCTAGATTATATCCAGAAAATTTGCAAAATGCATTTCAGGCCAAAGGTCAAAGTCAGGATCATGTTCGGATTCCCAATTTATGATTTCCTATTCAGGTTAAGTAGAAACTATGATTGTGTCTCTTATAGTTCTAGAGATATAAGGGCTAGAAAGTCTGTGGAGTGCATTTTATGGTGAAAACAGAAAAGTACAGGCAAAAAGCATGATTAAATTTCCTATTCAAGTTTAGCAGTAACTTGGGATGCATCTCTTGGATCCAATTCCCATACCTAGATTGATCTAGCAGGATCGTCCCATCTCTGAGGGGATTCTTCCTATATTGCTTTTAGCTTAAGTGGCTTAGATGACTGGCATGCCTATTGAAGCTGCTAAACGATAGTTAATTACCCCCTAACAGCTTTTCCCAGCCAACTGTCCAACCATCATAAAAACCTGATATAGACCTGTCACCAAGGCAACAAACTGTCTGAAAGCCTATGCTGCCCAGACTGCTGAGGTCCATGAGGGTGTATTGACTTGGGGCAAGAAATTTTCAACTTTATGTACAGTTAGTTTAGAGAAGAAGAATTTCACAGAAGAAGAGACTTCATCTGCTATCAGTCTTCTTCAGTAGCTTTTCTCATATTTCCTTCAGTTTGGGAGATATTCGGCAATTTTCAAAATTTGGACAACGTTACATTGAGACAAGCATCACATCTATGCAAATGCACCTTCAGGGCCTAAAATCATAGGGCTTAGGGAGTTCAAGTGGAGATTATAATATATGTAATCTAATTCTAACAGATGAGGACACAGGTCCTTGTAGTCTATGAGGAGAAGTGGTAACAGTGACTTGTATCTCATGACAGAGCCACAGGAACCAGTGAACGAGACAGGTCAGTGCTAGAGACATGAGTACCGCAAATGCTCATGCTGGTGGAACTAATAACTGACACCAACACTGTCACATATAAAGACAAAGATATCAGATGAATTTTTGATACATAATTTTATCTATATCAACAGTTAATCATGTTTTACTCACCAATACTATTACATGTGTTGGAATCAAACTTGAGCAGTTTGATGGTTTTATCATTGGAGCCTGTGGCTACCAAGTCTCCTTGTCCACTCCATGCTATACAATAGATGGAGCCCTTGTGGTGCTTTGTCCTCTTCAAGACAACATTGGGCTGAGTACAGATGTGATCCACACTGGAAAAAAAATTCAAATAATGTAGTATGTTATGGTAAGCATCATGTAAAGATAATTTTATGTTCTGAATAACATATGTCAAGAACCTAACTGTGCATTGACAAAGACCCTGAATTATTAAGAATAAAAAAAACACCTGCCAAAACTGTGAAAATGCATCAACTAATCTACAAGACACATCATCAAATGGCTTCTTAATCCCCTGCTACCTGAGGTCAGAGAGATCAGGGAAAGCACATATCCTCAGTGACTTGGTGTTGGAGCCCACAGCATAGAGATGGCCTTGGGGGTTGAAGGCCACTGCTCTGATGGCCTGACCATCCTCCAAGGTAGTTACAGGCAGGAAACTGGGCCTGGCAGGGGAGGAGGGCTACAACAACAGGGTAGACTATCAATAGTAGGCAAATACATGTAATTAATTAATTAATTGAGAACACTAGGAAGCGGTGTGTGATGCCACTATTTCCTAAGATAGCATGGTTTAGCACTGAAAAAAATATCAACCTTATTTAAAAAATTGTATTAAATATTAAGGTAGTACCTTTTCTTCCATATCTGGCTCTCCTAAGTGTGAGACATGTAAACTAGAGCCTTCTGATGATGTGTTCTTATCCAAAGTTTCTAATCCACCTGAAACACACAAATACATATAAGACAAATATACTGACTGAAAATATAAATACAACAAGGCATGCATAAGTATATTTTACTTGATGGTCTTTTAAGATTACGGACTTTGCTAATAACAATACAAAATAAACAATTGTGTGTTTTATCCTTTTTTAATACAAATTCTTAAACTTTTTTTAAAGTTCATACAGCTTACATAGTTTTAATACAAGGTTGCTTTTACAGGACAACTTATTCCAAATATTGTATATCTTATATATTTATTGCCTAATAAGTCTTTATCTTAAAACAAATCTTGTAAACATACAGATATGTACAGTAGGTAACATAAATAAACAGACATTTAAACAGAAGAATTCTGAAATCTCTTCATCATAATTTGAAAGAGTAAGAGCAAGTTTTTATCCCAAACGTGACAAAATCTTGTTAACTCTTCCATGATTTCAGACTTATTTGTGAAGCTTCAAGCTATTTCCGATATTCCCCATTATTCATTTCCATGCCCCTTTCTAACTTACCTTGATTATGTGCTGATCCCCTGATACTACTTTCTTCACTGTACTTGTTATCTCCAAGCTGAATCTGCCGGTTTTCTAATTCCATCAACTGTCTTTGGTAATATTCACGTTCCTGTTCTCGCATGGCTAATTGTTCTTTTAACTTTTCTTTCTGTCGCTGATATTCTCTGTAAAGTTCTGTGCTAGAGCTATTCAACAAACCTTGCTGACTGTAAGAATTGCTGTTGGTTTGCTTTGGTGACCTTGATCTCACTGGTGTCAAACTAACTTGACCTTGAAGAGAAGAGGCTGGAGACCTAATCTGGGGTTTCCTGGAGCTAATGAGCGGGTCGCCTGCTTTTTGTGAAACTTTGTGGGTCTTCAAGGGGGATACCTCAGAATCCAACTGCTGATGACTGATGCTGTTTTTTGTATCAACAACTTCAGCATTTTGAAATAGTTTATCAATAGAAGAATTCATGGGATTATTTCTTCTGGAGGCAATATTTCCTTTTTGTAGATGGAATGTGCCAAATGATCTTGAGAGAAGATTGACTTCCTTTTGGGCAAATTTTGCAACTTCAGGCTTGCCTTGCAGCCCATGAGACAGTCCATCTAGTGCAGGATTGAGTGACCTTGAAAGCATATCTGCTGACATTGGTCTGGAAGATGGCACAGCACTATGAGGAAACATTTTGGGCTTAATTGGTGTTATGAGAATTTGCTCAGACCAGGATGCCTCTAAAGAAGGCTTGATCAAAGGTTTTAGGTCCACCCTTAAGGTTTTCTGCTCAAATGGATTGGCAAAGGTGGAATGAGGTAAACTTTGTAGCCACGACACCAGGCTAAGGTCTTCATCTTCTATCCCAGTGGAGCCATTTAACACAGTGGAAAGTTCAATATCTCTGCTTTCTTCTTCTATACAAGTGGCTTTATGTTGGCAAAACTCCACACAAGATTCATACAGGATTCCTTTCACTACAAGTTGAATCAATCGGTCACCTCTAGCTGTGCACTGGAAGAATGGAATATGTTAAATAAATTTGATATTCAGCAGAGAATGGAATTTTGTTTCATGCATGAAATAGTGACAAGCCTCTTACAGTAAAAAGAATAAATTAGCTAACTGGCAAGTAAAAAATCTCATTAAAATAACATTTTCTTTTATTTCAAATATGGCAGCTCAATATCACCTTTACAAAGCTTTGCAAGTCAGTCAAATGAATGAAGCCAATCTTAACATGCATCACTTTGTAATGTCCAAAAAGGAGAGCATATCAAGTAAACATTATATAACTATTTTATATAACTCAAACATACTTGATTGTAATATTACTAGTATATTAACAGTGAACATAATTGTATAAGATAATAATTATTGTGATGTATCTCTAATTAAAGGTAATTTTATGATCTAATTAAAAGTTATTAAAAAAATGTATGCCCCCCAATCTTCAATGGCATTACAAAACTCCATTAAGTTGTGTACTGCTGTACATGACTGTCAGCAGCAAAGATAGCACAAAATTCATGCATTGGCACTCATATAATGATTTTTGCTATGTACGCTGTGGAAACGCATGTAGGCAAAAGCCTCAAAAAGTGTAAAATGGAGACTGCTTTGCACATCCAGCTCTCAAATTTTTAGATTACCTCCCACCACCTCAGCTAGTACACTCCTATAAAGTCAACCAGTTTTCCCATCCACAGAACCATGTACAGGTAAGAGTTGTGTACCCGTCAATTTGTACTTCCCATATTGCATGAACATGTGGCCAAAAATTCCCGTCAATTTGACTACTTCACAAACATGTTACTCTGCTTGAGACAATCTTAGAATCAAAATATAAAATGTGTTCATGCTTAAATCCTTTACTAGTATTTATTGTGTGACAAATTTCAAGTTTCTATGGCAGCTTTTGGGGAGTGGAAATCAAATGGGGCAAATTTTAGCTTGGGTGTCCGAAAAAAAAAAAAATGACAGACATTGTGGCACTATAACTTCTGATTTATTCATAATCTGATATATAGTTATATGTGTTTTAAATGTCAAGTCTCTTGATTAATTTGAAAAAAAAAACGTGAGGAGGCTGTGGACCCTAATTAAATTGTGTGGTAATGATCCCACATTTTTGTACAGAAGGCACTCTCAGCTTTAGAGATAACTTGAAACAAACTTAAAATGGCAAGGTATTGTGTAGTGTAGAGGTAAGTTTCAATTTATCTCTGAAGCTAATGGTGCTTGAAACAGCAATGGTATGCTTGAAGCTTTTTCAATTTATCTCTGGAGCTCAGGGTGACTGAAATATAAAAATGGGAGAATAAGAGAAGAAATTATTTTCATGTTACCTCAGCAGGAACCTTTTTCATCAATGGTAGAAAATCTTCTACCAATGGTAACACTTCATGGAAGCACTGCACTCGGCCACTGTTTGGGTTCCAGTTCATATAATCAACATGATCTGACAACCTTGGCAATGTCAACAACACACACAAATTACTGTAGTCCTCCTTTGTAGGACAGAAAAGTTCCAGAAGGTTTAAACAACTCACAACCTCTTCTACTGTGAACTCACTATTCTGCATGGGGCCGGGCTCAGACTTCAAACATAACAACTCCAGATACTTGTGCTTCAGGATAAGGTACTGAAATTTCTTTAAGTCGAACGCTTCGTCTGTACTTATAGGTTGGATGAAATCAAGCGCATCGTCCCACTGGCCATCCAAGATGAGTTGTCTCAAGAAAAGTAGGTCGTCAGAGAAGGCTCCATTGACCATCCCGGTTTCCCTCTCCAGTGACAACATTGAGATTGCCAATTCTCGGCTTTGAAGAAACTCCAAAACCAACTTGATAATGTCTCCTTCTCTAATATCAATATTTATTGACGGCATCGTGATGCGTGGCTACTTGATTCCTAAAAATGCGTTTAACAGAATGCTTTTTCTGTGGAACACAAACTACAGCATAATAAATTATGCCAAATCGATACCCGTCGCCGTCGAAATCCTGAAATGTATGCTGAATTATGACAGTCCGTCGGTTTCGACTATTCGATCTACTTCCCACACAACACACTCACGAGATGAAGTATATGCGCTTCTATCTTGGAACTTCAAGGGTGGCTGTCTTGTGATTTACTTGAAAAATATTGCGTTTTATACAGCTATTCGGCTCTATCATTTGTCTGGCATCTTCCGACCGGTGCCTGTGGTCCACCATATTGGAATACATTAGCGACGGAAATAGCCGGAGATTATCAAATATATTTCAAGTCCAATTTCCACCCTTAAATGCATTCAGTGAGATATATTATTTATAATTTGTTCTAAAAAAACACAAAAAATGACCAAATCATTCTTCATAGGACCTTCCCCGTACCAGTTGCGCTTAAAAAAGGGCATCTGCGCATGTGCTAAAATTATTAAAACGATCTTTTCTTCTTCGTGTAGTCAGACACCGTTAAGAGAAGTTACCACTACACAATCATTTAAATGTAACTAAAGTGGCTATATCTAATAGTGTGCAGATACCACATAAGACGTTAGAATCTACAAGTAAAACTAACTGGTCTGAGAGGGCACGTACGGTTTGTCTTATATGACGTCTAGTTGCCTGAGAAGGCATGGCCATAGCCGTTCGCCGGTGCTAAACGGAAGCATGTTTTTCGGAGTGTTGGGTTCATCCTCTTAAGTCTAAAATCTGAAATTATTTTTTGAGATGCAAGGCACACTGAATTTCAATGTAGGTGTTTTGGGACATATTGATAGTGGGAAAACTAGCTTGACAAAAGCTTTGAGCACTGTTGCAAGTACAGCCTCGTTCGATAAAAATCCGCAAAGTAGGGAAAGGGGAATCACACTTGATTTAGGATTTTCCTCGTTCACCGTAGATATACCAGAGCATCTGCGTCAACATGGAAGCTATGACAAACTTCAGTTCACTCTTGTAGACTGTCCTGGACATGCCTCTCTCATCAGAACAATAATTGGTGGTAAGTTTGTATTTGTTCTTTGCACAACTTAAATGACTTAAATGACACCGTCCGGTCAGTAAATATATAGGTATGTTACAAAAATAAAATAAAAATAAATAAATAAATAAATAAATAAATAAATAAATGAAAATAAAATAAAAATAAATAAATAAATAAAAAATAATAAAAAAATAAAGTTCCCAAAACCTCCTAAAATCAAGGCAGCCATAAGGAGTATAAAAAAAAGGATTTTGATACCAAAACCAAGTCTGTAGCCAAAAAATTGACAAAGATTTTGCAAAAATATCCTTCCCAATTTTACACATAAACCCTTTAACATTATGAGTTGTGAAATCTATGATCATCAACATTGAAGTGTTACACAAAAATGTTCCCTGTTCTCATAAAAATCATAATTCAGTGAAAATTTCCAGGAGAAACAGACTGAAGCATCTTGGATAGAATATTTTGTCTAAATCTGAAATAGACGGAGAAAAATTAATTAATAAGCAATTAAATCCAGACGCGCTAATTAAAATAAAATAAATAAAAAGTGCATGGATCTTACCCCACATACTGAAACCCAGTAAGTAAAACCCTACAATAAAAAGTGACTTATTTGTTGTTATTGTTGTTGTGATTAACCAATGTTATTATAGTTATTATTGGCCATTGTTAATTGTTATTGCTATCATTATATACCCTAGCTAATAACCCCCGATCCAAGTGTCAGTATGGTTATAAAAATATATCTTCCATTGTTTATTTTAAATGTATTTTTAGTAAAGATGTAACATGTTACACATGTATATTTATGTTTTGTGAAATGGGGGGCCTGGGATCAAATTTGCTATTGGCCATGAGGACATCAAGGGTATGGTACCTAGACTTTGTGATAGTAGTTGATATCAGGGCTTTTCATAGGATTGGGGGTACAGGACGTCCAACATTACCATCTGTTATTTCCTACAAAATTTCAGAGTCCAACTTGCCATGAGGGGGTGGGAGGTTAAAAATAAAATTATAAAATGTACAAAAATACATTTCAAAAGGGAGGGGGTTAAAATAATGTTTACTGTGTACCAGAGTCACACTGTGTCTTAGGAAGTGTTGCCTTAATCTTTGCACAGAAATAAGATTACTTTGTTAGCTTTATATATGTAACTCAAATGAAGTACTTCAACCCACCTTGCACTGAGGATATAATGTATAATTGGTACAAGTTCTATTGTAGGTGCTCAGATCATAGACCTGATGATGTTGGTGGTAGATGTGACCAAGGGAATTCAAACACAGACTGCAGAATGCCTTCTATTGGGAGAAATCACCTGTGAGAAGATGGTAGTTGTATTAAATAAGATTGACTTACTCCCTGAAGACAAGAGGCAAAGTGCAATTGAAAAGGTACAGCTATAGTCTTTTTTATACCACAGCTGGTGCTTCAAACAATTAGATAATTGCACTTGTATTTGGTATACAGGCTTGCCTGTATTTTCATATATTTCGGTGTGTTCATCTTATTGTTCAAAGTGCCAGCCATAGTATAAATCAGTTACAACTACTTGTTATCCACTTTATGTGACATAAAAGAGAAAGTTATATCTTGGTTGCACTTCTTGTATGTTGCATACAGTGGAAAACTCCTGTATAAAGGTCCAGTGTCCAAATTTTTTAAAGTTCACCTTCTTTCATTCAGTTGCAAGACCAGATATAATACAAAAAATAGAATTTTTATGAAATGCTAAACAAGAAGTTTGAGTATTACAGTAACAGAAAGATTCCTTACATATGAAGATAATGTTAACTAAATTAAGAAAAAAATATTGATTATTTTAATTAGAATGATATTTATTTATTACATGACTATATTCAATAGATGTCTAAAAAGTTCCAAAAAACCCTAGAAGCCACAAGATTCCATGATGCCCCTATCATCCCTGTAGCAGCCAAACCAGGAGGCCCAGAGGCCCAGGGGAAGGAGGCAGAGGGGATGGTCAAGCTCATTGACATCCTGAAAGCCTGCACATATAAGCCACAAAGAGTAGAGACTGGTCCTTTCATTTTTGCTGTGGATCATTGTTTCTCTATAAGAGGTCAGGGGACAGTGATGACAGGGACTGTGTTGTCTGGGAGAGTTGTGGTCAATGATGTAAGTACTGGAAGACCTTGTGTATACTGTAGCCAAGTAGCAATTATCTGGACAGTATCAAGAGATGAACCAGTTAAATCTTCATTTATTTTACACATTGATCAGATGCTTAGAAAGCAATTACGGTAGGTTGATCTATGCAGGTTCTTTTCTAATTGACTGTTGAGAATGAGTTAATGCCCACTAGCTAATAAACTCTAACTCTAAGGGGACTCTCTCTGTGCCATGGCACTAAGTGTAGCAAGTTGACTTGTGTGTTATACACGTAGGTTTGAGTCCTACTATCGCAACTATTTTTTATTCATTAATAATAATAAGATTGGTTTGCCTTGACAGAGGTCTTGAATTCTATGAGTGCTTTTCTATTTTTATTTATTTATTTATTTTTTTTTTTTAATATCCTTGGAATCAAATTCAACCAAAGATATATAGTAACACATGACTGGACTACCCTAGGTTCTAGATTCCGGTATTGCCAGCTCGATCTTGATTTCATATATAACCCATATCAGCAATACCAGGCTCTACTGAACACCGACAAGCTGTGGTGGTTCTTCTTCAAAATTTTGCCTGGGGCGCTTCCATATTTGGAAGACACACGTCACAGCTGTGTCCGCCTGGATCCATATTTGGAAGTCATGTCTTGTACGTCACAGGTTTGGCTGCCTGGAGCTGCCTTTCCTGCCTTGCGTTGACATTATCTCGTGCAGATGAGACAAGCAGCAAAGTGGCTGACGTGGAGTTAGAAGCTTGAATTAAAAATATCTTGCAGTCGAAGGTCAGTGCCACAATACAAGCAATATTCTGCTTTAAAAACTGATTTTGGTGTAGCTATTATAGTGGTATCGGGCATACAGTGTAGCTGTCAAATTTGGCACACGGCAAGCACGTGTGTTCATGCCTCCAGGGGCAAATGTTTTTTGATAAGCAAAAAATACCAAAAAACATTGGATATGTCTTTTTCTTTTAGAAACATTATTTATTTTTCACTTTACATCTTAAAACAGTAAATAAAATTAAATAAAGCAGAATTAAATCTGTTTTATGTTTCATTTTGGTTTAATGACATTCAGCTGCAGATTCACTGCGGAGCAGTTCTTTTTGATTGACAGAAGTCGAACATGGTCGCTGTTCTTCAGAGCTCACTGTTGAAGCCCAATTCAGTGACTGTGACACTCAGGGCAGACTGGACTGGTCTATAGCTCCATTGCTGTCAAAATGGCACTGACTACATAGTTCACCATTGCTGGTTTAAAGTACTGTCAGGCTGAAGACAATACTGGCAACTACACTAACTTGCACTGAGTGCTCTTCTTACTTCAGTTTTTGACATACAGGAACAACTATCACAGCTGCGCCTTCATATAATTACGCTCTTGTAAGTCCCATACAGTGAATGACTTGTGTTGTAAGTAGTAAATTTACAAGGCTCAACACTAACGACTGTCTTGGACAGGCAAAAGTTCAGTTTGGGCAGGTGAAGTTTTCAGGCTGACAGGTCACATTTTGTGAGTATTTAGAAACATAGATCTCGAAAACAAATATTTGTTGCATGCTTACTGCTTCTCACGCTTCCATTTGTTTATATATGAATAGCGCCAGCCAGTTACAGGTGCTATATATAGACTTTGCTTTCACGTGAGTGCACATGTTAATAGCATTATCAATCAAGTGACATCATGCCGCAGCTGACTGGATCATATTTATAGCTTGCAAGGTCATCGCATAGTTCAAGTACACTTTTCAGAAAGTTATAGGTTGCATGCTCCCATAGAGCCTTTTGGCATTTCTTTAATTTATATAATAATGTAATTTAAACTTTGTGGTGAATATTGGTAGCCTAAGGGTTAAGTGACAATGATTTGACATGTCAGTTCACTTCAGATGCACCTTTATAAAGATGTTTAAATGTCTTGACTGTGGTTTTACATCTTGTCTTAATATTTTTATGTTAATGTTTTATCATTGTAAAGTAAACTGAAATTTAAAGGATTTTAATAATGTTGTTGTTCTTATTATTATGTTTGTTGTTGCTTTTATATGGAAAATGAAAAGCTGTCAAATGTGATGAGGACACTGTATTAAATATAAAGAGTACAATGTACTATAGTCAGTTGGATTACCTGCAGAACTTTTTTTTCCGGTAACCAACAATATTTTTTACTTACTCAAGACATATGTCTCCAATACTTAGTTAAGATTATTTTAAGATTCTTTTAACTGAAGTAATAATTGCATAATTTTGATTGTTTGTAGACGGTAGAGATTCCAAGCATGAAAATGACGAAGAAGGTCAAAGCCATGCAGATGTTCAGACAGCCAGTGGAGAAAGCAATACAGGTGAACTATCAGTTTGTTTAATTTGGACATGCTTATCCTTGCTTTTAATCACATATATCATTGGAAAATGGAGGTTATGCTTTCACCTCTGTTTGCTACTTGCACAAAAAAAAGAAATTGTAAATCGATTGCTCTGCCTGTTTGTTTGTTTGAGGTAAGATAACATAACAATTTGCACTGCTGTTATATACCAGTGTGATATTGATGTAAAAAGAAACCTGACAATTTAAATAAAAAGAAGGGCAAATTGAAAAAAATTAAATTTACATATAATAATAATAATAATTAAATACATGAAACCTACCAAAGAAGTTGATTTTTAATATGAAGATTGTTGTGAAAACAAGTTAATATTGGTAATATTTACATAAGTATTTTGAATAATGAACATTCTTAAATTAGTTTTATTGGAATTTTTATTAATATTTGAATAAAATGATAATTTAAATATTGAATATTATTTAATTACTTTTATAAATTTACCTCCCCCCACTTTTGGACAAAGTGTTTTTTCATTGACTCGATTTGAATACCTTTGTATAGCTGATGATGATGATGTCATAATGCTATGATGACATGTACTTATTCCAGGGAGACAGAGTTGGTATCTGTGTCACCCAGTTCGATCCTAAATTACTAGAGCGGGGTCTTGTTTCCTCTGTGGGTGTTCTGCCCACCATCACTGCTGCCATCATATCTGTTCAAAAGATTAAATACTTCAAGGGACCAGTGGCTACAAAATCCAAGTTCCACATTACTATGGGCCATGAAACTGTCATGGGGAAAGTGAGCTTCTTTGGACAAAAGAGAGATGGAGTTGAAGATACATCTGGTGCTGAAAATAATTTCAATTTGGGGGAAGAGTATATTTATCAGGAGGAGTTACACATTGGGAAAAGTGTAAATGAAAGTAAGAATGATAACAGTGAAGTCGTTGCAAATAAACCAGTGAGACAATATGCACTGATTATGTTGGAGAAACCAGTTACATGTGCACCGCATTGCCTTGTTATTGGTTCAAAACTGGACACAGATATCCATGCTAATGTCTGCCGTCTTTCATTCCATGGCCACTTGCTTCTGCCAGTTACAGACCCGAAGTATCCAGAGACCTTACTTCCCAATTTAAAAGTATATAAGATAAAGCAAAAGGAAGGCTTGGTGGAGAGGATAGCTGATGACTATTCTGTAATTGGGAAATCTTTATTTAAAAAGGAGAGCAACATTCAGTTGTTTGTAGGATTGAAAGTGAAACTGTCAACAGGAGAAGATGGTGTCATTGAAGGAGGGTTTGGTCAAAGTGGAAAATTCAAAGTAAGGATTCCGAGTAAGTATTGTGAAATAAAAAAAAAAAAGAACTGGCAAGTATTCCTTTTTATGTACAGACACAGATGTGTACCTTATTTTTTCAAACTTACAAACTGATGAATATTAAGAAAATGCAGGCAGAGTTTGAAAATCAGCTTGATCAGACCATTTTTCCAACAGTAATGTTTTTTATTATATTTATTTATATTTTTTTTTTCAGCATATATTATATATAATACAACTAATATCTATGTTACCTACAGTGCATAAATTAAAATTGGTGGTGATTTTGCTATTAGGCAATGTTATGTAATATCACAGCAAAATTGATGAAAATCCTTATGCCAGGAACATATTCTTAAAATCCGTTTTACCTGTTGTGCATAATAGAAATTTGGTGTCGACTTTGCTGTTAAGCAAAATGTATTATTGCTTCAAAATTGACAAAATAGTCTATGTTGTGCATCATTATCTTCTGTTTTTATGTTTGTACATTTGACAGCTTTGACGCATTGTTTGAAATTCTGATAAAAAGTTTTTTTCAAAAAAGAGAAGCTGTTTATTTTGATATAGATTTAGTGTATAGAAAAAGCATGGATTATCTGTCTGTCTGTTTGAATATGTTGTGTGCAAATTTTGGGCAGGATTTGTATATGTAAGAGATTTTTATTGAAAATTTTTGTACTCACATTGCATGCAAGTGTATATCTCTAGGCCTCTTGGTAATTTGGCATGCGTCTACACCTTAATCTGCCACTGTTTATTAATCATTACTTAGGCAGTCATTTTAATTTGTTTCAGATGGTCTGCTTCAAGGTACGAAACAAAAATTGTCTGCAAGTAGTAAAAAGAAAGGAAAGGCTGCTGCAGAAGAAACAAGTCAGGAATCAGATGGTGGAAAAGAACCAGTAAAAATTTACCTTATATTCAAGCGTTATATATATGACCCAAAAAAGGAAATGATTCAAATTGATTGATGGGTGTTTTTGCATTAATGCATTCTAAGGAGGAATGACCTCTGCATCTTTCTGTTGCAAGCCATGAATTCAAACTTTACAATATTACAAAAGTTTATTATCAGTATTTGTAATCAGCTTTGGTAAGAAATGCAGATAATGAAAGAGATTGCCTTAGTATAATATTTGAAAAGAAAAGAAAAACAAATTGCATTATGGTAGATGGGATGGAAGGTGTAGAAATTGGAATGTGTTCAGACATACTGTATTTTTTACTAGTCAAATGGATAAATTTCCTTTTTTTCATCTTAAATCACATGCTTCAGATAAGATAGGCTTAAATGATTCAAGATGTGAAGTCGGTGCTGATTTTGAATCCAGGTTTAATGACTGCAATTTTATGAAGATTCGTCATAAATTTCATTTTTTTCCATTTAAATAGTGTTGAAGTGAAATTCTGTAATCCCCACAATGTAGTCCCTCATGTGTCCCCTATTACATTTTTAAGAATTAATGGCATTAGCTTTTAAGTGAACTATGTGTATGCCTAACTAATGGGTTCAGTGTACTTTTAGAAAATTCAGACTACCAAATTTTATTTATTCAACTTTTAAAAGAATGTGAAAATTAATCTTGGATGTCAAAAGTAGGAGGATTTTGAATGTAGTCTCTGAGAGACACTTTTTCTGTCAAACTTAAATTGGCTGACAGCAACTAGCATCTCATGTAAACCCCAACCATTGAAGTAAGTGATGACACTATATTTGGAAAAACAACTAAGAAGTCTTTAAATTGAAAATATATAATCAAATGTCTTACAGGTAGTTTTTGGCCACATCTTGTGAAATAAGTGAGCCTATTCAACAGTTGTGCAAATTTGTAAAAATGTGCTGTTCTTTTAACTACATGTTTATGTATTTATATACACGTGCAGGTAAGTTTCTTTTAAGACTTCTATGTGTGTATACATACAAATATTTATAAAACATATTTTTAATCAAGATTTTTTTATTTCCTTCTCACTTTTTTTTTCATTTGAAAAGCTCTGAAATTTGATATTAACACTGCATTACATATATACTGGTAGAGTAATCAGTTGGATTACTTCCAGAACTATCAGACTATATTTATTCAACTTCGAAATATGAAAATTAAATTCAGATATTAAACTCTGGGGAGAATGGTTTAGCTATAAGTAAAGAAATGCATAATTGATAATGACATAAACAGTGACTGTACATACATTCAGAATTAAAGTAATGTTTGCTAGGGAATGTCCAATCCTTGTATCTCTGCTTGCTGTTTCTACAACCAATTGTCTTTGATATAATGAATGACTTTCTTAATTGTGACAATTGGAAACATTTTAACATATTCTAAAAGTAATTTCCAGCTGAGCTCCATATCTGGCTGATATCATGTTTAAAAGGTACAATATTTCACTTCTGGTATATAAACATCTTGTGATTTACATGAATCGCCTTCATCCCAGTTCATTACTGTCTCATCAAATTAAAGTGACTTCATTGTCACCTTCAGAAGTCTGAAGAGATTTCTATCTTAATATATGCTTTATAAAATCTGAAACCAGTTTGTAAAATGGGAACTCTTGAGTCATAACAATTGCAGCATAAGAGCTTGTCTTGCCGACCTGTGGACTAGCCATAGTGCTGCCTCCTGGTGACTGAGGTGCCCCTCTGCGGAGGTAACGCTGAAGTCCCTGCAGAAAAGAATTCTGAAAAAGAAAAGAAACCGCTAGATGAGTGAAGTGAATATCTGCCACATTTTAACAAGATTTACATATATAAACAACTTTAGATTGTTTTTTTTTAATAGGAAATGTGAAGAAGGTGCAGTTTAAAAGCAACATGTACATCTATGTTTGGGCTGAACAAGGGACTAATTTGGTTTATGACTTTGCATGTCGACTTTATTTTAGTCATATTAGGTACTAGAGTTGGGAATCCATGCTTGCTTAAAATGTAACTAAAATTTTGATGCAAAACTGGAATGTAACATTTCAATTTGTAAGAAAGAAACTTCCCAAGGACATGTATGTGCAAATATAAGTACTAATGTTGAATGATTCAGTCATTTGATTAAAATCTACTAGGATCAAAATTTTCAAGGCTTATTTTTTTCATATAGATTAATTTAAAGATAATTCTATCTGCCTTCCCCCATGACAGATGAAACTGATTATTTTTTAGTTGAAAATAACCTGCTTTAAATTTTGAAGTGAAAATTGCTGAAATGTTTGAGCTTTTTTAGAACTTTAAACATCTAGCTTCTGTTTCTTTATATTTTTTGTTTATTCTCTATACATGTGCTGCCTCCATACTGTCCATCATGACCATTTTTTCCCCAATTATCAAACATCCTTACAAATTCACATTTCATCTCTTGGCTTTATGTAATGTATGAACATAGTGTAGCTTAATGAGAATGAGTTTAATGAATGTATCAGACTGACCAGTTCTGCTGCAAGCTCCCTTTTCAGATACTGCTTCTCACGTTGATGGAGCTTTGGGTCTCTCAGGTAGCGCATGGTTTGAGACAGCAAGAAATAAAGTGTGTTTTCCAGGACAAATAATAAAATGTGTCTGAAATTGTGACATGAATACATATTATTTACCAGTGTTCATCAAATACTAGCCTATAGGGTGAAATGACAAACAGTTTATACATGTAAGAATTGTTAACAAAATACAGAGAAATAGATTTATAGGTTATCCGTGCTGGGTAAATGTGTCTTAAATTATGTGCAAAGATGTTTATAGGAAAAACAGTACCCAAATATTAGCATATTAATATATTTGATAACTTCTACACTTAAAATGCACATACCTTGACACTGAGACTGCTGGAAATGGAGTACGGTTTGGGGAAGCAGCTCTCATCTCACTCTAAAAAAAAAAATAAATAAATCTTACATGAAACATGATAACATTTAGCACACAAAAACACAGCTTTAGAACAAAAACTGATAAAAATCAACACAACTAAAACCATTAGCTTACAGTATGTGTGTATTAAAATAAAAGTATATGTACCTTCAACAAATTTCTCAGTTTCACAGTGTCAGTTTTGCAGAGTAATGCATATGCATATCTGTACTTACCCTGCTGAGCATCCGTACACAGGAATTAATACAAGCAAGGTATGTCCCGAAGTTGACAGGTCCCTCTTTCTCTGTGGATGGTGTGTTAAATCCCAGGTCTAGCAATGGAGAGCTGTCATTCACATCCAAGCTCTGAGGACAAAGAACAAATAAAAACATGGGGTGACACTCTGGTTTTTGAAGATGACCACCCTATAATGAACCCTGTTATGCACTTTCATGATACAGTACAAGGCCAAATATAGCTTACAGATGAAATTGGAGAAATAAAATTGCTCATAGAGCAAAAAAAAGGAAACTACTGGTGTATAATACAAAAGACCTATCAATTTTAACTTAACCAACAGCAGCAGCTGCTGTACTTTTTGTGTGAAAATAAAAGAACGATAGAGTGCTAGAAATTTTAGCTCAGTGGTAAAATCTAGAATCACTTCCCACACCTACCTGGTCCAGCATAGCCTCGCAAAGATCTGGAGTAAAGTGACGCAAAAATGTCAAGCTGAGACCAACCAACTTCAAAAGGCTAGAAGAATAATAAAATAGAAAAAATGTATAGATAATACCTGTCCCATGGACTTTTTGTCTTATAAAGGAAAATTATCTATCTTGCAGTTTTGCTAAAGTTCTTTCAAATCTATGCAAAATGGTCCATGAAGAGTAACTCCAGACTACCACCAGTTTGTTATCTTCATCTCCAAGGATTTACTGATAATACTGTTCTGATTATAATCCCAAACACTGCCCAATTTATAACATGTATCGTAATTACCAAGAGTCAGAAAATATGTATTCCTGAAGCTTACATCTTCATTTGAACATGTTCAGAGATTTGTGGGAATAATCATGCAGAAATTAAGCCTCTTTTTGTATCTCATGCATGTAATCTCACTTAAAATATCATATAAAGGGATTTGTCTACCTCTCTGAAGTGGTACACTGCACAACTGAGTTTTTTATCCCTTATATCTTTTCTTTTCACTTAACTTAAAATTCAAGTCTTACATGTGGGATCTATTTTGGACATGCACTGTATGTTGGACACTTCAAACTAATATCACCTTGCATTTCAAATAGAATTCATTTGTTTACATCAATTAAATTAAGTTTGTAACATACATGGACATATTTCTCTTACAAAAAAGGGTTGTTTTAAACATTATAACATAGTTAAGACTCCGGTTAAATTAGATAAAATTCCAGTTAACTACGAAACCAGATACATTATCTGTCACAGGGCTTAACCTATGGGAAATTTAATTCACACCTTGAAAATGCCAATATGTGAAAAATGAAAAATTCACACTCACAGTGTTGAATCAGCCTTACAAGCTAGCAAGATATATTCAACTGAAAATTCCTAATATTTTTAAGGCACTTGTGATGAAAATGGTATACAAAAATATATTAAACTCAAGATAGTAATGCTGGTGAAACAGTCCACAGGACTACCATTATTTGGGAATAGTAGTCCTACTGGACCTCATTGTTTTACAGATCAGTCTGTGCATTTCAACTGGAATATCATGTTCTGCCTAAAACTGAACAAATACCTCTCCTGCACCTGCACCAACTGTTCTGATGGCTGTTCTACTTCATCTGTAGATGTCTGATGTTGTAAGGGAAGGTGCTGAGCCATGCTCTGACTTGCCAGGACTTTTTGGGGAGGCTCTGAACCATGCTTTTTCTGAATATGAGCAAAATACATGACAGGAATACAACTAAATACACTTCATTAATCTAAGTAATCGATGAAGAGTTGGCAAGTCTCCTTCTTGGACATTACCGTAGACATCACCTATTGTCTAAATGCAGAAGCAACAGAGGGAACAAAGGCTGTTAAATCTACAGACATCTAAAATAGACCCAGTAAAATAAATGTTCCATTTCACATGCTAGCAATAAGGATGGTATTAAATATTGCATAAAAAAATAGCTCGGAAACTGGGTTAAGTATGTGAAGACATCTACATGTATGGTAAGAACCTCAAAGCTGTTTCAATGTCAATAGCTTTAATCAGAAAGAAAATGTTTAAAAAATGAACAATATCTGTGAATTTCCAATCCCTGTACATACCTCCAGTAAATACTTCAACAACTGTGGTCTGATCAGTAAAGATATACAGGAATGGGACACAAAGCAGATAGAGCTCTGGAACAGAAGTCAACACAATGATTATATAGAAGTCAGAACAATAAATAATTTAAAAGGTCAAATCATATTTACATATTAAGTAAAGTTAAGGGCTATGCAGTTATCAGCGTTCTGTTTCCCGTAAAAGGATTTTTTATTTTTTAAATGAGAGATCTGTCATAATCTGGCANGTAAAAAATTTCATTTTTTTGAAAATTTTGGCCCATTTGACCTTGAAGTAGAGGTCAAAGGTCAAATCCAAGGGTATATTTGAAATCTACACATATGACTTTTGGAAAGCCGTCTATAGAAATTTTTCCCATAACTCCTTCCGTAGGGTAGATAATTAGCATTTAATTTTGCCATTTTTAGACAAGGGTGCATTGCAATGAGTGCCACACCCAGACCCCAATACCGACAAAGCCCAAATTTTACGTGGAACGAGTTGAGATTATAGGTGACCTAAATCCATGAGATGGGTACGGGGGCCCTTACCGTCTAGGAGGAGAAGCGGTAACAGTAGCCGTCCGGCGGAGCCGGCGGAGCCAACGGATCCGGCGGAACGATCCGGACGGGACCGAAACCATGTGTACCGCCAGCGCTAACGCTGGTGGTACAATAATCCCACAAGAAATTTTAAGAAATGCATTTTTTCATAGAAACTAATAGGAAATATTGTAGGAACCTTAAAGAAATTTTATGTTATCCTACAGAATTTCCTATAGAATCCTACAGAATTTTCCATAAGAAATCCTATAGGAATTCCCACAGAAAATTTTCATAATGGGTACCAAATGTTTTATTGCATCTTATACTTTTAATTAACAATTTTATCAAACTTATTCTTATATAGTGAATTTAACAATTTAAAAAGGAAATTTAGTTACAAATAAACATTACTATTAGAATTTGATGAAAGAATTGGGGTATATCATGAGATGGAAGAGGAGGAAGTGTACAGAAAGCTGATTCAGAAGAAACTAATTGGAATCTACTTTAAAAAATGTAAATAAACATTAAAATTTAAGGTCCTTATATTATACAGAGTTCAGTAATAAAACACTTTAACCAAACTTCAATGTCTTCATCTGACTGATAAATTTTAAAAACACAATTTACTTAAAACTGCCAAATCCCTTTAATATTCTACATAAATAAACCAGTGCCCAGTGGCTTGGAACCACTACCTCTAGGGTCAACTGGTCCAAGCAGACCAGTGCTGAAAAACTTCAATTTCCCTCCCTGCACTAGTACACTGTAAGCATTTGCTATATACAGTGACTCTTTGCTGAAAGAATAGTAACTTCTACTGTTCACTTATAATAAAATAAATGAGAATACATTGCCTTGATTCCTAAAATTATTATTGGCATATACCGAAATAATCTTCTCACATACCAGCAAAGCCAGATTATCTCAATCAAATGTGAACCTTATACAAATACATTAATATAGTAGACATTCAGACCTATCTTTCAGGCCCATTATCCTACAGTGTGTGTGTGACAATTCATGTTTACACATTACTAATGACCTGAAACATAATTTATGTTGCAATACCAGAAATGATACTTCTTTTGAGAAAATGACCTTTATAACTAAAAATATCAACCAAATGGGAAAAAATCAGAAGTATATAGGAAAATAGACTATAAATATTAGGCTGCAGAACAGTTATGCAAAATTTGAGAAAAATAAATGGTAAGGTTTCCAACAATAAATGGTGGATTTTGTTAAAGATTTTAGAAAATAAAATTCACATTAATACATCAAAGCCCTCAACTCTTACCTGAATATATGTTTGTACAGAAGAAAGTAAGACTGGAAGCACGGTGTGCTCTTGAATGGATGGCAGCCATATTGCCGGGTCCTCAATGCTCTGAATAAGCTCATCCAACAAGGTGACACATACTGTCAGAATCTGGGAACACAAGTGAGTTCAAATATAGCCATTTTCATTAATTTTAAAACTGGATTAAGTGTGCAATTATACCAGACAGCAAACAAAAGAGTGAAAAGCTTTAGCTGTTTACAAACAAACAATTTGCTGAAGAGGTGGTTAGGTATACAGCTAAAATAGGAATTCCTTTGAAAGTCACGTAGCTGTGGCCTAGGCCTCTCAAGGCCTCATCTTATAGCTTCACCATCCGCCCCCTTTCTGGACAATAGAAGGGGGAGGAACACAAACACAACAGAAGGGGAAGGACAGCAAACAATGGAGGCCTAATTAGAAGCAATGCTTGGAGTTACTGAATATGTACTAAAGTTTCAAACAAGCTACATCTGGACAAATGGATTTTCCATTGATCTGTCCTACTAACTGAGATGCAAAAGTGATGCCTGCAGCCTCTTGTGGAAACAACAGACATGTTCAGTCAGGTGGATAATCTAAGAAACTAGAGAACTGCCCTATATAGTGAACAGTTGGGATTCTCAACATAACAGTGTAGCTACAGTCGACTGTAAGGGGCTACCTATTTTAGCTGTATACTGGTACTTAGAGGATAATTACATGGACCTTCTTTACAAGTCTTTTTTCTTGTACACGTGCAAGGTTTCTGCAGTGTATACATATATGTTATACCTTGAGGAGCAACTCCACATCTTTACTGCAAACATTTGCTTTCCTTGCAGGTGGAAGTTGGTAGGTCACTTTCTGTAGCAGTGTGCACACAACTGGACACAGACTCTTCAGGCTCAACACATCTGTATGGAACAGTATAGTACATGGTAAACATATCAGGAAAGAAGAAAAAAGAAAAATGGAGGTAGTGGCCTGCTTATTCATGTAACTTACAATAGCAACAATGAATTATGGAACATTAACAGATTACTTTAAAATCCTTGAATGCGTGAACTTTCAAGGGTTTGAAGCACTAAAGAAATCATATAAAATAGAAAGGCCATAGGAGGTTACTAGCCTTATGTCACAGAGGTAAAACTCAGTGACAGTATAAAGTGAAAATTAAATAATTAAGTGAAAACTATAAACAAGTAATTAAAATGAAAAGTGCTGCTTGACTTACCTTGCTTTGCTGTTAATTTTATTTGCTGTGTGGCCAGAGTCAGGGCTCCAAGCAGACCTAGCTGTATAGATGGCAGTAAGACCTCACTACTGGCACAAGAAAGCCTCAGAGCAACCTCAAGTTGATATACTCTATCTGTCCATGGCTTTAAGATACTGGAATATCATTGAATGACAAAGTTTACACTCTATCTGACCATGGCTTTAGGATACTGGAATATCATTGAGGAATATCACTGAATGACAAAGTTTATTATCATTTACTGATATAAATGACTTTCCCGGCTGGCTGAGAGAACTATTTAATAGTTTGGTTGCAATGCTTGTGATAGTAACAAGTTGGAAACTGTATCTATGTCATATTCATCATCAGTCCTATGTATTTGAAGACAATCAGACGAATGGTTTTCCATGAAATGTGGTCTCTGTATTGCATGTATTAACAAATATGCTGGGAAAAAAATCTGAAAAAAATTGTCCTATCAAGCTTATTTTCCAACTTTGTATTTTATTAATATTCATCAGTTCAGTAAGTTTGAACACAAAAGTTCAAACTGTTTTCCACTTATCCTGTTATCTCTGAAAGTGCACAGCAGCAGCCATGACAGATGCTGGTGTAGGCTACATTTGTGTCTGTACATAAAAATGGTAGAGGCTCTGAATGCATGGTTCTTACCCAGCCCAAGTGTGGAGCAGAGTCATGGAAGTGGCAGACAAAATTGAACACACCTTCACCTGGTGGGTGTCTGTAACATCTGCAAGCTGAAAAAGAAATAAAATAATGCACATTTATAACTGAACACAGGCCAATTGTTCGACCTAATCATTCATGCCATCTGACGTACACAGCTAAAGCAAGAAATCTAGAATGTGTGGGGCCTCTCTTCAAATCTCTGCTGAAGGAGTTGGCATACAGGCTTAAAGGGATAATAACTCTTCGTTTTGGCCAAAAAATGAATTTTCCTGGAGTAAACAACAATTTTTCCATACTTACCAATGGTTAATGAATCCATTTTTACATTCAAAGTTAGTCCCTGGTTTTTTTCTAAACAGTTTGGTTTTTTGTTAAAATCTCTTAAGAGATTATAACTGAGTACAGCCATCAATGGAGGTCACGTGATCTGAAGACAAGCTCAGATATCTGAATAATAGCTATAACTGCCGTTTTTGAGGTAAAACAGAATATGTTATATTTCTATGAGTTGTTCACAATGTTTTTATTGTGAAATATAGATATCATACGAAGAGTTATTATCCCTTTAATACAATTGCAGGCCTGTCACCAGCAATTTCAAAAGGGTAATTCTTTTTCTGAAAAGTGGACCTTTTACAATGGAACCTTTGTGTACCTAGATCAAATTTTACCCAGAATGGACCTTTTCCTAACAAAAAGGGTGGTTCTTTCGAACCCCCGAATCCCCCCTGTCTCTGGCCCGAGGTGCAAACATACAAAGGATGGTAAGTAGATTTTGGCAAGTTGTAAAGTTCCTTCAGTTTATTTCAGCAAAGGGATAGATTTTTGTCAATAGCTGCAGATGTAAACTGTGCTTTAATTAGCAGTTAGCATTACAATCAGAAATCATCAGTGAATAGGGCTGTGAGATGTGTGCTTACCATTGTGCTCAGTTAGCCTGCAGCTTTTGTACATGTATATCAGTATAATTGAAAGGGGTACATGTAGGAGGGAGATTCACCTTTTCTTTTTTTTTAAAGAACCCCTACCTGTGCCTGTAGTTCTGTCAGTAGATCACTGAGTATGGTAGACTTTGCTTCAACTGTTAAACCCAAAACTTCTCTCTGAAATGAGATTGATGAGGTTACTAATGCTAGAGAATAAATTTGGTCATGTTAATTCTGTTCTTTGCTATGATCAATTTAATTTGATCTACAATGTAAATGACACCAGTCAGTCCAGTGCAGGCTATATGTATGCACAGACACTGCATAACTAAAGTTCACGAAGGATCCTCTCTAAGTGCAATTATTGGATCATTAAATTATTTGGAAGTGCTACTCATTCAGATCCTGAAAAACTAAAACCAATCTAATCTTATCCAGGTCTTATAAACGAATAAGGTGTTTACTAGCACTACCCGCAGATCTTTTAGCAGTAACCCATATTAAGCACAAACCCATGTCGAAATAATCAACATACCATACAATTATTTAGCACCAACAAAGCAATACCTAGCACTAACATTCATACGTTCTGATACTGCTGGTTAACTTGTGGGTTATGTGGTTAACATGGGTGTTAGATCTGCAGGTAGTGTTAGTAAACACCTAATCTGTGAATAAGGCCTGTTTTCACAGCTTAAGATTGATGAAACATAATACAAGCTGGGCAAAATGAAAAGTCCAGAAGGAAGATTAAACAAGGACAAACTGAACTAGACTGAAAGTCCAGTATTAGATTCAAAAACTTTATTTATGTAAAATACAAATGGGCATCTTAAGTTTACATATTATTATTTGACACAGATTGAAACAATGCTAAGTTGCATGGTTAAATTAATATAACAAAAATGCTTTTTTATTTGAATACTAGTTTTCAGCAGAACTCGAATATAGGATTGTGATTGGCAAAGAATTTATTCTTTAATCAAGAAGGGATACCAAGTGGGCCATGTACCTTATTACTGCCTGCCACCCCCAGCACCATGTTCCATGCAGTCAGCAGCTTTATGATGGGGTACCACATGGGCCCCATACTACATACCTTATAACTGCCTGCCACCCCCAGCACCATGTTCCATGCAGTCAGCAGCTGTATGATGGGGTCATCTGACATATCTTCTAGGCTATGCCTGCAGGGCTTTCTAAGTAGTCTTCTTATATACTGTTATAAATGCAATAAATACTGTAATAATTATAATAATAGTAATAAAATGTGATATAATAAAGAGGTGCCTCCTGGGTATATTTACCACTATCTAGCTACATGTTGTTCAACACATCAAAAGGAAAATACTACACATGTATCCCACTTAGATTGAATGTTTTTCATTGTTTAGATTTGGTCTGTATAAATAAGAATGAAGACCATTTTCCCAATACAACATTTGCATCACTTCTGCTTGGTAACACAAACTAACATAAGGTGTAGCTTATAAAGCAGCAGTTTTGTTTACTAAGGGCTAGAGAAAACGTAACATTATTAGTGATAAAGTCTAAACGCCATGATTGTAAGAAGTATGCATGAACAGCAACCATTAGCCATTGACATTTTTCTGACACAAGCTCAGATAAAAGAAAAAAATCATAAAAATAACACTTTTACCCTCAAAACCACTGATATTCATGACCTCATTAGAAAAAGGACCAAACTTCAACTGAAGCTAAATAGAGTCCACGAACATAATATGATAATATCGTAACAACAAAAAATAAAGTAAATATTCTTCAATCAATAGCTTATACTGAAATTGTTTACCTCCGATATTTCAATGTCTGTCAAAAGCATCTTCATCAGGGAATGAGGCTAAGTAGGTGAATAGCCTCTATTCAGATTCAGAAAAATTGGAAGTAAACAATTTTAAAACTAAGCTGTCAACTGAAGGAAAGTTTTAAAACATAACATAGCTGATTGAATATTTCTCTGAATTACAACAACCCGTATTATACACAAGTGATTTTCATGCTGATTTAGGCTTGGGGTTTATGTGTTCGACTTGTAAAACTACATGTATTAAGAAAAAGAACACCCATGCACGCATGCACACACACAGCAGTGGAAAGTTACCTCAGACCAGCGAAGGAGTCTCTTATTCTTTGAAAAAACATCCAGCTGGATTTGGAGATCCTTTTCTATTTTTGTGCTATAGGAAAGTTATAAAAGAATGTAAATTAATCATATGAAATTAATTCACAACTTTTACTATACACATTTTTTATATTGTTGGAAATAAATGTTGAAAGATTTTGAATTTTGAGAAATAATGTGACAATCCAATCTTTCCTCATGAGGGGGAAAAAATATATCAATGTATTTTTTACTTTTCCATGAAGATGTCAACACAGTATCCCAAATTGAATAACGAAAACATTTAGGCATCCATGGTAATATATTTTCAGCTAGAGTTAACACACTTAAAATTTATCACATTGTAATGAACTTAGTTATCTTTGTAAAACATTGGGGAAAAGTATTACTTATGCACAGTATATAGTTCCATGGCAATGACCCTCAGCACATTTGCTACCGTCTTCATCTCATCTGACCAGGACGACTATGGAAAAAAATAGTCAAAATGCCAGTACACTACTGCCAAAGCATATAACATAAACTACAATAGATTAAACAAGTATCATGCTGCTGTTTAGTTCTGGTTCAGAAAGTAATAAAACAAGACAATTTTACACAGAATAACACATGTACTACTTTGTAAGAGCCAATAAAATGGAATTTAAAACCTTCCAATACATATATTTACTGTTAGAGATAGCCTCACCTCCTCCTGCTGTACTGGAATATCTCTCAAAACTGGTGCACAAAGACTGCCCCAGAACAAAGGACTGAAAATAGGACAGGATTGATAAAGCACCAAGCACACTCCCACGTCTCATTTCAAATTACATGTATACCCATGTCAGAATATGCAAAAAATAAATGCACCAATTCAGGACAAAGACATCAACTGTCATGCTAACAGTCAATTAAAAAAACTGCACATAACATACATGTACAACTGACTTAAGAGAAAAGATGTCAGGATCTCTATAAATTTCTTTTTCATTATGCATAGATGGGAGTTACTGATAAAAGGTTTGTTCAAGTACAGGCCCTAGATTCAAAACATGGCACATTGGTACATTTTCAATCTGAACTGCTTTATTATAATAATTTAAATAATTTTTCCTTGGCGAAATGGGGTGATGGTGTACATGGAGTGCCCCCTGACTACGCTTGTAAAGAAACCTTTTTCTGAGTGCCTGCATTGCCATGTCCCTCTGGCCCTTCCACAGTGCATAGATGAAGTCAGTAGCAGCCCGTAGTAAACTAGGAAGGCAATGATATGTGCCCTGGAACATAGCACATATTTGTTAATGTATAATATATATATCCCACAATACCATTTCTCCATATCTTTCACATTACAGAAAAATACCTAGACTTGGATTACTGGACTGTACAGTACATCAATTCTTGGGCAGTGAAAAAATATACAAATTTTGAACATCTATTAGTCTTGGTGTATACTTTTTGTACATCTTGACAAGATCATTATTTTAAACAAGGCAGCAAATCTGTCAAATGTACAGACAAAAAAACAGAAAATAAAGATGCAAATAAGTGAAAAATTAAATTTTCACAAAAAACTGTTAAATTGCCTATTGAAGCTGTATGTTAGANGACGGCGACGACAGACGCAGACGATGGCTATATGTACAGACACATCTGTGTCTGTACATAAAAAAAATACTGACCTGTTTGCTTTCTTGGATCAACTCTAACACTACTTTAAGACAGCTAAGGCTATTTGCTTCAGTCTGCAATAGAAAGATAAAATGATATGGATGAGGAAAGCAATCTTATTAATCCTTAAAACAAAAACATTCAAACATGAAACAGAAGAACGTAGTTGGTTTTTGACACAGAACACAGTGCTCTGTATGCAAGCTTGAAGGTGGAAGCAGTTACAATTAAATTCTAACAATGATGAATAGTTTGCCGTTTAGCGATTTTTCAGTAAATTAAAAAGGGAAAAAATGTATACAACCTTAAGCACTAGTACTGTAAGTGACTTTCCACAAGATATTTTCAATTGCACAGCAGTCCAAGTTATATCAATTTAAAAGTTACCTGGTGTTACACATAGGATTTAAATTTGGTATTCAAACCTATAACAGACCATCATCAGATTTCTCTGTAAGTAAAACTGTTTGTTAAAAAATTAGGAACAAGTTAATATTGGAAGCCCTGTGATAACAACAAGAACAGGTGACACAATTCAGACCACATGGAATTTAAATAAATGTGAGTTTCACATCTACACCAGATGCAAAATCTTTCCACCAATGTGCCAGCACTCACAGCAAGCTCTCCATTTCCAGATGTGTCTTCTTGGTTTGTTGACCTCATTTTCAGGAACATCTCAATTAACCCAGGCTGTGTTTCAACGCTGACAGCTAACAGCTCCAGTATGACCACTTTTAACCAAGGATCCTGAAAGTAACACAAAGTGCATCTTCAAAATTAAATATAAATATACAGAATATAAGGTACATACATATGCAATGTATAAAAAACATTAAATGTTCAACTTCACACAAAAAGGAATTTCAAATTTTGTCTAGAAGTTTCCGTTTCATCAGAGAAACATTTGTCAGTCAACAAGGTCAATAATACGCTAAGGAAACTTCCAGAAACAGCATTGTGCTAATTCGATATCCACAATGTGTTTATGCTCCATACAGTCCCAGATCAAAACAATGAACCTTCTCTAACAATAGAGAATAGATTAACATTTATTATAAAATTCAGAAAATGTAAATAGCATAGGGCTTGTCAAATGTGATTCAAATATCGTTAAAACATTATTAATAGCCCGACATCGAGAAACTAATGATCTGACCAAATAGCAATTGATTGCAATGTTTGCATATGGTTGCAATCTGTGATGCTATTAAGTTATAGAGCCCTGGTCTGCATCAACCTGGTTTAATGACACAAAAATTCAGCAATAACCCTAATATATGTCCTACCTGTATAGGAGCTCACATCTTGGCTTCACGAAGGAAATGCACTAAGCAAATTAATTATCCTTTGATCTGTTCACATCTTCTTTGTCCATACACTCAATACTTAGTCAAATTGTTAAATGTAAATGCATATTTACTATCTAAATCCAAGATCCAATCTTAACAAGCATTTTTCATTAATTATTCCCAATTTATGGATGTACCTTGCACGAGACGATCATATCAAGCTCACCTCTGTCTGCCCTTGCAACCTGGTCAAATAGGCATCCCTGATTGCTTCAGCGTCTTGCCCAAGACAAGCCAGCAGTGACATGGGTGATACCTGGTAGATATTATTATTATCATTTCAATGTTCATTGAAGATACACAACACAAATTAAATCAATTTTCAAAACTTATTTCAATATTTTTAATTTCTTGACAGCAGAAAAAAAATTAACCTGCACCCTCTTCAAATATCTAGTCTTAAGTTAGATCTTGATGAAAATCATCCCTAAAACCAAATAAAATGTATATACCAGTGACTGTCACATAATATCTCTTGGTATAGAGGTCATACTGTTATTGATTGTACATTAAGCTATAGGATAGATAATTATGTGTCAGACTGAGTATCAAATATTCTTGAAAGGCCAGAGGGGCAGAGGTAATGGTGGATGCGTAACAGAACAGATATATGTATAAAGAGTGTATTTGTATAAATTCACAACTGACAGCATGTTCAAATCAANGCCTTTGGCTCATGGACTACTGACCTGTTTGCTTTCTTGGATCAACTCTAACACTACTTTAAGACAGCTAAGGCTATTTGCTTCAGTCTGCAATAGAAAGATAAAATGATATGGATGAGGAAAGCAATCTTATTAATACTTAAAAACATTCAAACATGAAACAGAAGAACGTAGTTGGTTTTTGACACAGAACACAGTGCTCTGTATGCAAGCTTGAAGGTGGAAGCAGTTACAATTAAATTCTAACAATGATGAATAGTTTGCCATTTAGGGATTTTTTCAGTAAATTAAAAAGGGAAAAAATGTATACAATCTTAAGCACTAGTACTGTAAGTGACTTTCCACAAGATATTTTCAATTACACAGCAGTCCCAGTTATATCAATTTAAAAGTTACCTGGTGTTACACATAGGATTTAAATTTGGTATTCAAACCTATAACAGACCATCATCAGATTTCTCCGTAAGTAAAACTGTTTGTTAAAAAATTAGGAACAAGTTAATATTGGAAGCCCTGTGATAACAACAAGAACAGGTGACACAATTCAGACCACATGGAATTTAAATAAATGTGAGTTTCACATCTACACCAGATGCAAAATCTTTCCACCAATGTGCCAGCACTCACAGCAAGCTCTCCATTTCCAGATGTGTCTTCTTGGTTTGTTGACCTCATTTTCAGGAACATCTCAATTAACCCAGGCTGTGTTTCAACGCTGACAGCTAACAGCTCCAGTATGACCACTTTTAACCAAGGATCCTGAAAGTAACACAAAGTGCATCTTCAAAATTAAATATAAATATACAGAATATAAGGTACATACATATGCAATTTATAAAAAACATTAAATGTTCAACTTCACACAAAAAGAAATTTCAAATTTTGTCTAGAAGTTTCCGTTTCATCAGAGAAACATTTGTCAGTCAACAAGGTCAATAATACGCTAAGGAAACTGCCAGAAACAGCATTGTGCTAATTCGATATCCACAATGTGTTTATCCCAGATCAAAACAATGAACCTTCTCTAACAATAGAGAATAGATTAACATTTATTATAACATTCAGAAAATGTAAATAGCATAGGGCTTGTCAAATGTGATTTAAATATCGTTAAAACATTATTAATAGCCCGACATCGAGAAACTAATGATCTGACCAAATAGCAATTGATTGCAATGTTTGCATATGGTTGCAATTTGTGATGCTATCAAGTTATAGAGCCCTGGTCTGCATCAACCTGGTTTAATGACACAAAAATTCAGCAATAACCCTAATATATGTCCTACCTGTATGGGAGCTCACATCTTGGCTTCACGAAGGAAATGCACTAAGCAAATTAATTATCCTTTGATCTGTTCACATCTTCTTTGTCCATACACTCAATACTTAGTCAAATTGTTAAATGTAAATGCATATTTACTATCTAAATCCAAGATCCAATCTTAACAAGCATTTTTCATTAATTATTCCCAATTTCTGGATCTACCTTGTACGAGACGATCATATCAAGCTCACCTCTGTCTGCCCTTGCAACCTTGTCAAATAGGCATCCCTGATTGCTTCAGCATCTTGCCCAAGACAAGCCAGCAGTGACATGGGTGATACCTGGTAGATATTATTATTATCATTTCAATGTTCATTGAAGATACACAACACAAATTAAATCAATTTTCAAAACTTATTTCAATATTTTTAATTTCTTGACAGCAGAAAAAAAATTAACCTGCACCCTCTTCAAATATCTTGAGTTAGATCTTAATGAAAATCATCCCTAAAACCAAATAAAATGTATATACCAGTGACTGTCACATAATATCTCTTGGTATAGAGGTCATACTGTTATTGATTGTACATTAAGATATAGGATAGATAATTATGTGTCAGACTGAGTATCAAATATTCTTGAAAGGCCAGAGGGGCAGAGGTAATGGTGGATGCGTAACAGAACAGATATATGTATAAAGAGTGTATTTGTATAAATTCACAACTGACAGCATGTTCAAATCATTAAAGCAGGTTCAATGGAGGACTGCAGATATTCCGATTGTGTTAGGTTGTTGTGATGTCAGTGGGTTAAGCTGGCTGGTCATTTTTGGCTGGAGGTACACGGGACCGTAGACATGAGTACAAAGTAGAAGCAGATTTTCCAGTGACATAGTAAGATAATACCTGTATCTTTTGGCATTTTGAGCAGAGAAAACAAATAAAAACACTGTACATAAAAAGGACTAAATGTCTGTTCTTACCATTGCCAGCCTCTTCAGCATCATAGTGGCCAGAGCAGATAACCTGGGGTCATGACGGTGATGTATGTACTGGGCTATAATGGCTACAAGATGTCGCTTTGATCTATGAAGTGGCACTGCAAACAATGCCTGTTCTACAGGCGACAAAGGTTGGTCCAAGGGTCGTAATAGTAGCAGTCGGTTGAGAACTGAGAATGCTATCCTCACCAGGAAAATGAGGTCCACACCACAACCTTCACCACCACTGGAAAGGCAAAGGAAATAGGGGTTATATGTGATGCTAATTATAACTACAAGCAATTGCAGAATTAATGCTTAGTCATGCTATCATAATTATGATAATAATTTGCTCACCTAATATTTATACAATATAAATGCGATATCAATTGATGTCACAGACTAAAAAACTAGACAGCAAAGCTGGCAAATATACAGACACTATACAGGAAACAAGGCAGCAAAGCTGACATATGTTCAGACATTACGCAGAAAAAAGTGCACCAAATAATGTTTTGGCCAATTCAGATGCACTGTTACATAATTCTTTAAAATAGCATAATCACTCTTACCCTCTTACATTATGTTCTACAGGTAACATGGACATTGAAAAACTAGCAAGTGATTCAGTTCCATGGGATTTAAAAGCCACTGAAAATGCTAATGTGTGAAAAATTAAAAAAAAATCACAAAAAAAAAAAGAATAAATACTGTAAATGTAAACTGATCATGCCGATTTTTGAAAGCAACCTGTCTCTTTACCAAACAATGCAACTCAGTAAAACAAAAATACAGGTATTTATGGGACAAATGCCATGTGTCAGTGACGATGCAGACAGTCAGACCAATCAGAATACATACAGACGCTCTAAGTGTCTGTATATAAAACATGTTTGTAAGAGTACATTTAAGGTGTCATTATTATCATGTGTCCTACTTCATAGCGTTGGTTGTCAATCCCCTCAAATATCTTTTTTCTTTGCTTTCTTTATGCCACTATTATGTAAATACAAGGTGACTGTTCAACAAACTAAGTACATCATAACCAGCAGACATGTAGATATAATACAGCCAAGTGGCACGGCAAACAACGCCTGTTCTATAATTTTTAATTTGTTTGATAGGTTTACATGACAATTTTTGTCTCTAAGACACAATGCACATGACAAAACAAAGGTTTCAAATATAATTAAGTGTACCAAAAATAAATCCACAAAGGTACATGTATGTCTTATTCATTGATAGTGACCACTTTAAACTTTAAAATGAATTACTCAAATTTGACAAAAATGATAAAGTAGTGCTCCATGTCAAAGTAGTGTTCCATGAGTTTTTATGTACATTTTTCACTCAAAATTTTGTGACAAAATCTAGAAGAAAAACAGTGTATTAACATGATAGTGGTTAGATCTTTTGGTCAGAACATACCAAAGAAAAACATTCTAACTTGAATCCACATAAACTTATGCTTATCCAAAAACAATTCTAACCTTGCTCTCTGTGACATGTTAAAATGAAGTCCTCAAAAGAAATTGGTAAGGCAATGCACTATACACGCTGGATAAAATGCATATGCTACTAGCAAAGAAAATTTTGTAACTTACATATAACTTGAAATATTTACACCAGAAAAAAAGCTTCATAGTCTTCTTATAGTAAATACATATATATGTTCTTATCTTCACTGACAACAATGAAGATATCACAATAGCCCACCTTGACACATCAGTGTATGCATATAAAAAGGATCAAATCTTAGGGACCACAGATATTTGGATCGATCTATCTCCCTGGGGAGTCTCACTAAATTGCTATCGACTTAACCGGCTTAAATTATCTATACCCCTAGCTGATTCGGTAGGTGTGACAGACATTTAAGCCGGTTAGTTGATAGCAATTTAGAGTGAGACTCCCCAGGGAGTAAGGGCGATCCAGATGGATCGATCTAGGCACGGGAACCCAGTCTTAAATGTCTTGCAGCCAACCATGTTGTTACCTGCTCTGCTGTGCTAGTAGTTGTTCCAGTGTATCTGTGCCAGTAGCCACAATCTCCAGCAGTGCTCGGCCAGCTTCACTGAATAACATGCCATGGACACAAACTGAGCGCAGACTGGGCTCTGACCTGAAATTGATCAAGATGTTATGAAATTTAATTCTGGAATATTTTTTATTGTAAGTGTAATGGATGCCTGTACGTGTAGAAAAAATTAATAATAATAAAAAATAAATAAATAAAAAGAATTCTTAAAGCTTAAAGTAAAGGTCTAAAAGTAAATGTCTAAAATATCCCAAATGCAGTGCACTCCTTCATCGCTCACAACAGGTACAATGATTACCATTTGTTACCCTTAAATTGGTCAGTAATATTATTGTCACCTATTTCTAAGATATTAACCTTTGCCAGCTATCTATAGAACAAACACAGTTTTCATGATATCATGGGAATTGTAGCAATACCAAACTTCTAAAGCAATTTAAATCTTGATGCCATTTTGCAGCATTTTGTATCCTTCATTTTGTCTAAACAAAAACATGAAAGCCAGGAGAATCCCATTTAAAGGAAAGTGTATCTAAAATTTTGTGACAAGTGGTTGGATATTTGTTGGTTGTTCCATGATGATTTTGCCTTGTAATCCATATCATGCTAACCAGCTGGGGGAAGAACGTGGATCTTGAGAAGATAGATAACTAGAGGATCAGAGAGGCGATACCGCCTCCGAATATTGTACCACCAGCTGGAGCAAGCGCATTTGTATAGACCCCCACATACACAAAATAAGGGACACAGCCACCAGTNGAAAAAATACTGTAAATGTAAACTGATCATGCCGATTTTTGAAAGCAACCTGTCTCTTTACCAAACAATGCAACTCAGTAAAACAAAAATACAGGTATTTATGGGACAAATGCCAAGTGTCAGTGACGATGCAGACAGTCAGACCAATCAGAATACATACAGACGCTCTAAGTGTCTGTATATAAAACATGTTTGTAAGAGTACATTTAAGGTGTCATTATTATCATGTGTCCTACTTCATAGCGTTGGTTGTCAATCCCCTCAAATATCTTTTTTTCTTTGCTTTCTTTATGCCACTATTATGTAAATACAAGGTGACTGTTCAACAAACTAAGTACATCATTACCAGCAGACATGTAGATATAATACAGCCAAGTGGCACGGCAAACAATGCCTGTTCTATAATTTTTAATTTGTTTGATAGGTTTACATGACAATTTTTGTCTCTAAGACACAATGCACATGACAAAACAAAGGTTTCAAATATAATTAAGTGTACCAAAAATAAATCCACAAAGGTACATGTATGTCTTATTCATTGATAGTGACCACTTAAAACTTTAAAATGAATTACTCAAATTTGACAAAAATGATAAAGTAGTGCTCCATGTCAAAGTAGTGTTCCATGAGTTTTTATGTACATTTTTCACTCAAAATTTTGTGACAAAATCTAGAAGGAAAACAGTGTATTAACATGATAGTGGTTAGATCTTTTGGTCAGAACATACCAAAGAAAAACATTCTAACTTGAATCCACATAAACCTATGCTTATCCAAAAACAATTCTAACCTTGCTCTCTGTGACATGTTAAAATGAAGTCCTCAAAAGAAATTGGTAAGGCAATGCATTATACACGCTGGATAATATGCATATGCTACTAGCAAAGAAAATTTTGTAACTTACATATAACTTGAAATATTTACACCAGAAAAAAAGCTTCATAGTCTTCTTATAGTAAATACATATATATGTTCTTATCTTCACTGACAACAATGAAGATATCACAGTAGCCCACCTTGACACATCATTGTATGCATATAAAAAGGATCAAATCTTAGGGACCATTCCCACAGATATTTGGATCGATCTATCTCCCTTGGGGAGTCTCACTAAATTGCTATTGACTTAACCGGCTTAAATTATCTATACCCCTAGCTGATTCGGTAGGTGTGACAGACATTTAAGCCGGTTAGTTGATAGCAATTTAGAGTGAGACTCCCCAGGGAGTTAGGGCGATCCAGATGGATCGATCTAGGCACGGGAACCCAGTCTTAAATGTGTTGCAGCCAACCATGTTGTTACCTGCTCTGCTGTGCTAGTAGTTGTTCCAGTGTATCTGTGCCAGTAGCCACAATCTCCAGCAGTGCTCGGCCAGCTTCACTGAATAACATGCCATGGACACAAACTGAGCGCAGACTGGGCTCTGACCTGAAATTGATCAAGATGTTATGAAATTTAATTCTGGAATATTTTTAATTGTAAGTGTAATGGATGCCTGTACGTGTAGAAAAAATTAATAATAATAAAAAATAAATAGATAAAAAGAATTTTTAAAGCTTAAAGTAAAGGTCTAAAAGTAAATGTCTAAAATATCCCAAATGCAGTGCACTCCTTCATCGCTCACAACAGGTACAATGATTACCATTTGTTACCCTTAAATTGGTCAGTAATATTATTGTCACCTATTTCTAAGATATTAACCTTTGCCAGCTATCTATAGAACAAACACAGTTTTCATGATATCATGGGAATTGTAGCAAGACCAAACTTCTAAAGCAATTTAAATCTTGATGCCATTTTGCAGCATTTTGTATCCTTCATTTTGTCTAAACAAAAACATGAAAGCCAGGAGAATCCCATTTAAAGGAAAGTGTATCTAAAATTTTGTGACAAGTGGTTGGATATTTGTTGGTTGTTTCATGATGATTTTGCCTTGTAATCCATATCATGCTAACCAGCTGGGGGAAGAACGTGGATCTTGAGAAGATAGATAATAATATACTTTGCAAATTTAAAGCAAAACAAAAATCAGGCATGTTGCTAGTAGGACAAATGTTGCAAAGGCACTGGAAAAAAATGTAAAAAAAAATGGTTTTACAGTTATGATCTGAGCAAATGTATTGGAGAGTCACAATGACAAACATTACAGGTCGAAAACTTACTTGGCATTTTGAGTAGTATCTGTGAGAGTGAGGATCTTGTGGAAGATGTCCAAACATTTGTAACCTTAAATAAAAAATACTGTATAATTAAGAGTGTACTCTGCATGCGTCAGAAGCGTCATGCTTCATGCCTCTGAGACGTGGGCTGCCACCGGTGACACTATTCAACGACTGCTCCGTAATGACCGAGCCATGATCAGATGGATCTGCAATGTCAAGCTAAAAGACATGGCTAGCTCTGATTCTCTGCTCCTGAAGTTGGGTCTGCAGGACACTGAAGAAGTGCTGTGCCGCAGTAGACTCCGATGGTTCGGGCATATAGAGAGAAGCAATGGCTGGATTAACCACGTGAGAGAAGTTGAAGTAGTGGAGGATAGAAAGAGGCCTGGCAGACCAAAGTTAGCTTGGAAGGACGTGGTGAGAAGAGACAGGGAAGCGCTTGGTCTAGTCGGCAAGGACCCTCAGGATAAATCAAGTTGGAGAGGAAGACTGCGTGTCAGACTGGCCCCACCCTCTGTTAAGGATTAATCCCATCCAGTATAAAATAAACTCTGATGATGATGATAATGATGAAGAGATCAGAGGTAATAATGCCTCTTGTGTTTGTAACACCAGCAGGATTAAATACATAAAATGTTCTTAGCCTGTACATCAAAAATTGAGCAAGCTGGACTCCTACATACCACAAGCATACCATATACCTATAAATCTAGTGCCTCAGTGCTCACACTGGTAGCACAATAACCAATGAAACTAAAGGATTTTAAATTAGCCAATAAATCCTCATGCTAGAAATTAGAGGATCTCTCATCAAAAGCATCATAGAATCTTATGCAGTCTGTGCAATAAACCTTTTAGCTTACTGATCATTCAGACCACATCTGTTCAGTTTCCTTACATCTACTGGACAGGATCTACTGTTCGGATGAAATTTCAATAAGACTAGACATATCCTGTTATTGCATTAATATTAGTAAAAACAAGATATGATTTTTTGAAATAAAAAAAAAAAATAAAAAACATAAGATTGAGTATATAGGACTTCCCATCCAAGTTCAATAGCAAATACATGATTTGGATATTTTAGAAGTGTGGTTCATGGTGAAAAGTAGGCCAAAGGTCAAATTTAAGGTCATATGAAGACTGTCATGTTATGAGTTATGTTACGAGTTCCTTTTCAAGATCAGGAGTAATTAAAGGGCATATCTCTGCCAGTTTTGGAGATATAAGGACTGGAAATTTTGCAAAGAGCAGTTTCTAGTGAAAAGTAGGTCAAAGGTCAATTTCAAGGTCACAGTTAGGTTGCCCCCATTGAACTTCCAATTCAGGTTCACTAGTAACTATGGGCATACTTCTGCTAAGTTGGAGTATTTCATGATCTTCACCTCTGAATATTGCGACGATGTACTTTTTCATAAAGCGCAACTCTAACGATATGAAAAAAAAAAAAAAACAGACACCTCATCTAGTTTTGTGCTTTACAAGCTCTACAAAAAAAAAAAAAAAAAAAAAAACAGACATCTCTAGCATTTACAGTTCCAAAATTAAAGAAAGTTTTCAGTTTCAGCATCTTATGGCTGCTTCTTCCATGATAATGTACCAATTGACCCCAAACTCACGAAGATGAAAGATGACCCCAAGTGTAACACCTGCCCATAATATTATTCCCAATTTTTGAAAATAATGGCCCGTTTGACCTTGAAAGAAAGGTCAAATCCAAGGAAATATTTGAAATCTCCATATGACTTTCGATAAGCCATCTATTAATAATTTTTTCACTACGACCCATACTCACACTAGACCCATACACCAACAAAGCCCAAACTTTACGTGGATGGAGTTGAGATTATATTTTACCAAAACCCAAGAGATGGGTATGCAGGCTGTTGTAGAATAAGAGGAGAAATGGTAACGGTGACGTGACGGTAGAGTCGGCAGCTGAGACAGACAAGATGGGTCCTGACTAAAACCATGTGAACCGCCAGCACTGCACTTGTTGCCCATAGTTCTTTTGGAATTATATAATAATAATAATAATAATATTTTGTGGAATGAAGCTGAACACAAAGTGTGAAATAACTACATATACCAGTTAATGCTTATCTGAAAACTAGACATAAAATACAAAACATATTAAGTCATTATATATAAAGATATACATAGAAACAGGGTAGATGACATATAGAAATGTTGGGTGCTGAAATATTTTTTATAAGTCACAATAACTTTCACCTAAACAACAGGTTAATCTTACCTAAATCAGAAATTTAGATTATATTTTATGGAGTGAACAATACAGAAATGACTCTTAGTAGTACAAAATTAAATTTTGAAAATAAATAAATAAATAAATAAATAAATAAATAAGCAAATTATGCTACATTGACTCCCCTCAAAGAATTAAAAGAGATTTACATTTTAACATTTAGTTTTTATATGGTAAATGTTAAGTGAAGACAAAAATATGGCACAGACTAGGACAGATATAGTGATCGTTTCTGTATTTGGATATCATAACAAAACCAGGACAAAATCCAACAAAGAGCTTCATTTACCTCAGACCCATACTCATACCTAGGGAGTCTCTTTGCTTAAAACTGATATATCTCCACTTGCGGTAGGCTGGGAAGACCTCCCTAAGGATGAACACCAAACATGGGCTTAGCTCTTGCAATCTCTGCAGCTGACTCAATGGCTAAAAGGACAGTAAAACACACACATATATATATAAAAAAATCATTACTTTTGTGAAAATGAGCCAATAAGGCTGATATTCAAACTTGACCTAAATTTTATGAATATTCTTCACTTCTGTTTTGAAGACAAAAGGTAAAACAGTTTTCACTTTATTTGTATAACACTGAAAGTGCAAGATGACAATGCCGATGACAGATATATGCGAGGGTTATATGTACAGACACATCTATGTCTGTACATAAAAATGCTATTTTCTCAAGCAGTTAAAAATGATTTTTTAGTATGTTCATTAAGGGATAACTTGTCAATAGTGCTTTCTGAATTTTGCATTATTTGCCATGTATGATAGGTTTGTGAAATATAAAAGTCCATGATGTGCCTGTACATAAAAAGTGAAGAACAATTTTAGATGACAGGTTTCTTTGTGATACTGATCCCGGGTTTTCAGTGTTAATCTCTGCTAAATATTATCAATATTAGAATATCAAATTATTAGAATATTAAAATGTGACTCTACTGACGCTGAAAACTGATGATGAAAATAGGTCCTGAATTACAATGACAACAAGTTTATTGCCCACTAAATGCACATTCAATTACATTTGCAAACTCACTAATACAAAATTTCTTATATTATATTATATTATATTATATTATATTATATTATATTATATTATATTATATTATATTATATTATATTATATTATTATAATCCTATGTTATAGTAATAGACAGTTTGTCTCAATCTTGAAGTTAAATCAACACAAAGACTAACATATATACAATTTGATCACGATTTTCATGGCACACATATGAATAAAGTGCTATGAGTAAATTATAAACCTAGTTACTTTGATCACTGTCAGCAGTTGTCCACCTCAGGTATCTACTTACCATAATCATGTTTTCCATCAGTTGTAGCACACTAAGAGTGACAGGGTATCTGCCTAGAGGACATTCATTCCCAGCTAGAACAATACCATAACTTCCAGAATTGAGACCACTGCCACTGCAACATGAAGCAATACTTGGTCATTATTATATCCTTATTTTTCATATGTATTTCCTATATACACAGCTAATAAAGACAATAAACAGGCATTGAACAGATATAGAAAGTACCCCCTCAGCCATGGTAATTTCATATCTATCTTTTCTATAACAATATTCAATTTGACCCAAGTTTTCATTTTTGCAATGTAATAGGTCACATGAGGTCCACATGACCACTGTCATATCATCTAGATAAAGGATCACCACTGATGTATGGCTGCTTCTTGAAACATACCTAACAGCTTCTTCAACCAGGGTATAATTCTCCGTCCAAAATGGAAGAAGTCCAGTCTGCTGAATCAGATGCCAAACCTTTCAAATGAACAAAAATCACTCATTCAATCAACAATATGAATCAAATCAACCAAAACTACCAATTTATTAGTAGGCAACGTTGTAAAATATCACAAACATTCCAGACATTTTACAGCATTAATTCAAGTACTTTTTATGTTTTTTTGACTGAAAATGAGGGCAATTTACTTTCATTTATAAGTGTACATACCAAATTTACACACTGAAAATCCCAATAAAAAATGCTATTTCCTTATAGCGCTTAAAATGTAGCTTAGTATGTTCATTAAGGGATCACTCAATAGTGTTTTCTGAATTTTGCATTATATACATTGTACACTGTTATCAATTTTAAATGACCCTTGAATTGACTTCTGTTATTGTAACTCTTATGAATAATCAAACGATGGTTCAATCAAACTGATTTTCAAAGTGGACCTGCATTTTACTGATACACATGTAATCAACAGTGCTGTAAGTTTGAAAACAAAAAGGTTAAAAGGATTTCCATTTATGGTGCTATCTCTGAAAGGTACAGCATCTGTATCTATATGAACGGCAGATGCATGTCATGGATATATGTACAGACAGGATTCGTCTGTACGTGTCCTTACATACTAACATATTTTATTCTTTGGGTGTGCCTGTTTAGGAGCACAAAATCTAAGATAGCTAGAGCATGATAGGGCAACAATGAGGGCAATTACCACTAATGGTGAAGTGATGACTTTATGTACAGGCACTTTGTGTTTGTCCATAAATATATATGGACCAATTCAATTATGCCGGATTTCAATTTCTAACTGACAATGAGACACATCCTGTATGTTTGAGACAAGTAAGAAGGTGAACAAAAGTGTCGTACAGAGACATGCAGCTACATGCAGTGATAACGCGGACACTCAGGTGATCATAATATATATACACTGTGAAAAACAAAAACCTTACCTCTCCTGGTTGTTCTTGGGCAAATATTGCCACAACATCCAAACATCTCCCTAATAAATCAATAGGAGGCGATGGCAGTGCACTGAACCTGGGAAATATTATACTTCAAACATTATTAAATCAACTTCATGTTAAACTCACATAGCTATAAGATATTTCATCTAATCAGTAAAAGTAATTTAACTATTCCCTTTGGTTATTAGCAATGTACTTGTGGAAACTAAAAGTGTGTTTTATGCAGGTACCTCAAGTTTGGAGGGGTGGACCATTTTTTATATCAGATAGTGGGGGTACTTCATGTTGAGCGAAAAACTATTTTACAGTTACTTGGTACATCCACTGAATATAGAAACTATGGTGATGCTTGATATATATCTAATGTTGCCAATGAATGGGCTTTGGACAAAATGATGAAAACTATGCTAAATTTAGCTTATATTGTTTCAAAAATCTTATAACGTTTTCATCTGAAGAGGGATCACTTTATACAAATCACTGGTATATAGTTCTGAGAAGCTATCCTAAAGTTAGCACAAGTATGTTACAATAAATGAAAAAAAAAGCCCATTAATTCATTATTTTGGTTTCAATTTAATGTGTTTATTTACACTAGTACATGTACTATTCCTGATCTATCTGCAGTTTTTAGCATTCAAACTGCTGTCTTGAGGCAAAGTTCTTCAGATATGCAGATATTAAAAAAAAGAAACACTTTTTATCCAAAATTTTGACAAGACCCAAGAAAATGTATATCAAAGCTTATACCTATTAACATCATTTAGTTCTCTCTGGTGTCAAACTGCATGACTTCTGTCTCTAACACCTCTCATCAATATCTTTGAGAAAAGCAGTGATGCTTCGATCATTTACTCTAATACCTTTTCGTAAATGACCAACAGATGTTTGAGAAACTGTTACCCATTTTTACTCAACATCTAAACTTTAATTTGGAAAGATACCTGTGTATGATGGTAAAAAAAGATTCCACAATATGAGCCAACTGTTGTGCAAGGTTTGAGTTTGACCTAATGACTGCATGGACAAGCTCTGCAATCTCCTGTACCCTGGTCAGACTCTCATTTGACACAAGACCTGAAACAACATACATCAAATACAACATTATAATGATTAACTACTATACTTCAGTAAAATACTGTTGCCCATTAAACATACAGCCCATTAAACATACAGAACCTCTGAAGACAAGCAAGGCTTCATGGATTCAGCACTCACAGAAGTCTTGCACGAAGTTAGTTCACATGCTTTTTTTTATAAATCTCACTGAATAAAATTTAAACAAACCTAATCTTATGCTTAATTAAGAAGCTCTCTCTCTCTCTCTGTTAATATTTTCAAATTTAGATCTATCAAAACAACTGTTACATGTTAACATCATGACTATATAGGAATCTAAAAGGACTCTGTTGTATTCTTTCAGAAAACTGGGTCATATAATATTCATGGGGTAAAAAATCAGATCAACAACGCCACAGACAGATTGAACTGAAAATATACAGATACATAGTGTCTATATAAAAACTTAATGGACATACCTGCACCATGAGATATTTGCTGATTTAAGCTCTGTACCTCACACAGCATCAGCTGCCAGCCACTGTAACTGGTCTCCCATTGGATGACAGGGGCACCATCACCTACACAATAGCAACAGCATAAAAAAACATCATAAAATAAATCCCCAACACAAAGGAGGAACCAACACCTATGCAACCTGTCTAGATGAAAAATTGTTAATTATGCTAACGCCAGATACTCTAAATGAAAGAACAGAAATTATAACTATGTGTTGTCAAGCCATTAAAAAAACATTTGAAACATCATTTTAAATAAACACCTCCTGATGATCAGGCATACCCTATGGGTATGTCATTGAAACTCAAGAGGTTCACATGTCTAGTTTTTTAATTTATTTACTTTTAATTGTGTATATATATATATATAAATATATATATATAATTTTTGTATGTGTCTAATGTTACATTTTCCAAAATTTAAGATTATGAAGCAAAATACAATGCATATTCTATGCGGAAAGCATGCTCACAAGATCGGTGCCATGTTGCCTATGTCTCAATGTTGTTACCCAGTATGGTATATATAAAATATAAAATACCTGTTTGTAACAACATCCCTTGTGTATTGGCTGGAATAACCAATGTTTCTGAAATGGATAAGTACCATTTTTTAACTAGAGGATCAGAGAGGCGATACCACCTCCGGATATTGTACCACCAGCTGGAGTAAGCGCATTCATATGGAAACCCCTCCAAAAAGGGACACCACCACCACCACCAGTCTTGTGCTTGACAAGCTCTATAAAATTAAATCAAGAAGAGTTCTCAAAATATACAAAAAAAACATAACTAAAAATGGTACAATCAAGCAGATTTTAGAATTGACCTGTATTTTCCAACATTGATCAGTCCTGTGATTTTCCAGACAAATGAAGATGTGAGGGGCAGGAAAATATGCAAAGTTCAGTTCATGGTGAAAAAGTAGGCCAAAGGTCAATTTTAAGGTCACAGTTAGATTACCAGTATGTGACTTCCTATACAAGTTTAATAAAAACTATGGGCCTATCTCTGTCAGTTTTGGAGATAAAAGGGACGGAAAATTTACAAAGTTCAGTCCATGATGAAAAGTAAGTCAGAGGTCAATTTTAAGGTCACACGTAGCTTGCCAGTATATGACTTCCTATAAAAGTTTAACTAGTATTTACGGTTCCAGAAATAGAGAGAGTTTTCAGTTTTGGCATCTAACGGCTGCTTCTCCAGTAAAAATGCACTGATTGACCCCAAACTCCCAAAGATGAAAGTAGTTCCTAATTATAACCCCCCACTGTAATATGAGAGCTTAGGTCTATGTAGTTTCTAAAAATTGGCACAAACAAATATATTTTTGCAAAAAAATCCCATTTTTAGAAAATTTTGGCCCCTTTGACCTTGCAATAAAGGTCAAAGGTCAAATCCAAGGGCATATTTGGAATCTTCATATACGATTTTTTTTAGACTTCTATAATAATTTTTCCCATAATTTCTTTGATTTTGGAAATATTTGGCATTGAATTTTCAAAAATTTTGACAAGGGTGTGTTTCAACTAGCTTCACGTCCAGGCCAATGCACTGACTGAGACAAAAAGAACAGGGGGTTCAGGTTGAGATTATATGTAACCTAAATCCAAGAGATGGGGACATGGGTGCTTGTGGTCTTGGAGGAGAAGCGGTAACGGTGACTTGTATCCCGCGCCAGTACACGGAGGTGGCAGAGCCGTATGAGATGGGTCGGGACTAAAACCATGAGTACCATCAGCGTACACGCTGGTGGTACTAACAATACCAAGACAAGTCTGTAATCCCTCCCCTATGCTATTGTATCAACAGATCGGGACATCAAACTGAGCTAGACATTCAAGATTGCAATTCTGATGTTCCATCAAACTATGGCATTATTTTGCTTATTTCCTGATAATATAAGACGGAGCCTTTCAAAAAGATTTTCTAACACCAGATTGTAATACTTGTATTTTTATCATTCACTTTTAAAATGTAGCAATTTTCACTTTTAAAATATAAACATTCAAATAAAACAAGGCAGCAAAGCTGTCAAATGTACAGACAAAAAACAGGAAATAACTATGCACAAAATAGGCTACTGTCAATTCTGATGCAAAAATACATTATGTTAAACTGCAAATTCAACATCAAATTTTAATTATCCTCAACAGGTAATACCAATGTAATTAAAATATGTGACAAGTTTACACTTTGAAAATGTATAACTTCCAGAAAAAGAAGTCACTTAGACTGCTTTTCCAACTCAGACTGCATTTTAGTCCTGTATTTCTTTTTTGAAAGTTTGGCAATCAAAAGTAACATGGTTTTCCCATAATGGTCATCATGGCAGCAGCACCCAAAATTGTGTTTTCTTCTATTCTGATGCAATATTACATAATGGTTAACAGCATAATGACCGTCAATTTTTAATAATAAAATATACGTATCATGGATTTTCAGAAAATGTGACTAGCATGGGTCTTCAAGCCCGTGGAACTTCAAAGTCACACCTTGAAAATGCCAATATGTGAAAAATTAAATTTTCACAAAATAACTGTTTAACTGGCAGTAAGAATTACCAAACAGACTGTATTTCCTACTGAAGCTGTATTTTAGTCCCATGTT